CAGAATCTGAAATGGGATTTAATTACATTGGGTAAACTTCCATTCAGATAAATTAGGTTGGTGGAAAATTAACTGTATAATTCAAAATGGTCAAAACTGCAATTAATTTTGCACCAACCTAACATTTTTCAAGCACCAAGAGAACAGCACCATTTCGTGCCTGCCTCCCAGTGATACTGGGTCAGAATTGTTTGGTTTCATGAGGCGTTCTAGCATCTCAGCCCAGAGCACCCTCAAGCTTTACTGTTTAAACCTCTCCAGACCCCTGCTTGAGTCTCCCCCTTGCATTACCCATTTGGAGCATTCAAGACTTAGCTAGACCCTGACTTTTCCTATGCTAAGATGTTATAGGGTTGCCCACTATGAGAATGCTCAACACCCATGCACTACAGTAAATATTTGTTCAGCAGATTAACTTCTACAAATCGAAATATTTTCAGCTCTGCAAAGAGCCCATCCAAGTAGACCCAGTGGAGTTCAAGAAGCCTTGCTGGCTCAAGAGAAAAAAGATGGCCGGGCACGGTGGCTCACGCCTGTAATCCCAGCACTTTGGGAGGCGGAGGCGGGCGGATCACGAGGTCAGGAGATCAAGACCACGGTGAAACCCCGTCTCTACTAAAAATACAAACAAATTAGCCGGGCGCGGTGGCGGGCGCCTGTAGTCCCAGCTACTCAGGAGGCTGAGGCAGGAGAATTGCGTGAAGCCGGTAGGCGGAGCTTGCAGTGAGCCGAGATCGTACCACTGCACTCCAGCCTGGGCAGCAGAGAGACTCTGTCTCAAAAAAAGAAAAAAAAAGAGAGAAAAAAAGATAAGCAAGGGCACCTTTAGAACGATCTCCTACAGCATGAACTTTAACATTCATTCAGCAAAATCTCAGAACTTTGCCCTGGGCCTACATGGTTCCACACCATACCTAACTTATCTTGACACACACCTGCAAGCTCAAGCCTTTACCACAATAAAGAATTCAGAAGTTGGTCAGGCCAAAGCTATCCCTGGCCAAAGAAAAGTAAGTTATTGGTTCATTTCAGGTTGTTCTCAAGAAGGGAAAATACATCATCCTACAAGATCTGTAAAAGCCTCTTCCGTGTTGCGTCTCAACTCAGGTAAGGCAGTCACTGCAAAGCAGACGGTGGGGGAGAACATGGGGAAGCGTTTTCCTTCATTTCATCCCCAAAGACAGAAGACATTAGCACAGAGATGGCCAGGGTTTTCCAATGGTCATTTGATTTCATGGGATTATTACTGTAGCCAACATCTGTCTCCCTAAGAGGCAAATTATTTTCACAACTAAAAGCTATTATTAACATTAACTCCAATAGAAACAATAAATGGTAGCTATTATTGATCACTTTTATACAGTTTTTCACATAAAGGAGAAAATAAATGAAAATACTGTCATTTTTCAAAGGAATACCTTGGGAATCCTTTATAATCCTTATGATCCCCCGTTTCCTTCTCCAAGATGGGAAGAACACCATGAAGAGGACACTGAGAGCATGTACAGCCCAGGCTCAGCTGTGCGTGATTTCCCTCATACTAGAGAAGCTCAGGGAACTTTCTTTTCAGCCGCAAGACAAGAGTTTTACTTAGTGCCCCCTCTTTCACGCCAGCATCAAATATGGGTGATAAGTTCATTGCTGTCAGCAGCTAATGCCAGGTCCAGTGTTTCTCATAGGTGGCTATGGCAACACGCTCCCCGCTGCCTCCCCGATCCACACAGTCATCCTGGAGGAACAGAGTGCAGCTGGGAAGGTGAACAATGACTGTCAGCATGAACTTTAACATTCATTTAGTTTTTGATGGGGGGCAAAAACCTGGAGGTGGGGGGACAGAGTAATTACTGCCAAATCTTTAATAAGAGTTGGACAACTCAGGTAATACAGACAGACTGATCAGGGAGTGGTGGGTGGGGTAGTTAGAAACTTTGAAAGCCATCAAGGCCTACAGTCTGTTTAAAAACAACCAAAAAACACCCTTTCGTTATACCTGAGCAAATTGAAGAATCATTTCAAAAACAGAATTGTCAGATATCACTACCAGAGAAGTGGCATTTAAACAATCAAATACTAGCATAAATTAGATAACTGGATCATTTTTCACTGTCTTAAGAGAAAAATCCAAGACTACCAGAAATCTTTTAAAATGGTGTTTAGCAGCATATAAGTTTTTTAGTTAAGGGACTCAGAAGGGACAGAGTAAATCAATTCAAATCAAAACTTAATGGTTTCATAGGACTTCATATGAACAAGCAACTTATTTGTCCTACACATATTTTTGACTGGTTTAAAATCAGACAAGGATGAAATGATCTTTTCCTAACCCCAAATTTGGGAGAACACACGGTTTTGTTAGGTTCAAGCCCACCCACGTTAAGCATTAACCAGTTAATATTATTGCTGTCACCCTCCAACTTGGAGAGAGATCCCCAAGAGGTTTTAGTAGTGCCTTTACCACTTAGGAAGAAACAAAAAGGTGTATATAGCAAAATGCCAGCCTCCTTGGGCTGTTTCTCCACATGTATTTGGGAGGCAGCAAAACAATCCCTGCTCACTTCAGTCTTCTACACCCAGCCTTGCAAACCACCCACCAAGAATCTCAGCAGAGCCTTTTACTGATATACACACACACACCTGGGCCTATCTCTTTAACAATAAAAGAAAACAACTCCCTTTAAAATTCCATTCCAGTGAATGGAATAACTGTGATTATTAGTATTGGTACCCCCTGTATAAATCTAGTTTATTCTTGCTCACCTACAGAGGGGTACACAGATGACAACTCCATTCAAGATATAGTGAAGACAGCCAAAAACAATAGTTCACATTAAAATAATTTTGTGGAAATTATAAAACCAAGAGAGAAAAATTGAGACATACGTTTGCTACTTTTTAAAACTACTAAACTTTTAATGTATTTGCTTATATGCTCCAGAAAAAGTTAGAAGCAAAATATAGCAGTATCTTCAGCAAGGTCTCTCAACCATATGGGGCCTCAGTATCATTTGTCAAAGTATATCACTAACGTTTTCTGACTGTGGCATCCTATACATTTGTTAATTCAAAGTCATAAAAAGGCCTCAAAAATCCATTTTAAGTTTGATATTCCCATCAGCTTATCATGAGGATCTGAATATTTCCTAACCTACTTCCTAGAACAGACTATTCAAAGTATAATAGGAGAGTTAAAAGAGGTTACGTGTTTATGTAATGTGTTATGTGAGAGACACAGAGAGAATATACTTGTTATTTCAGGCTGACTGAAGACCGAGCTTCCGGTATCAGCTCCCCAAGTGCCTGCTCTCTCTTAGTCAAGTCTCCCTTGAAGAGATGTCCCATATCTTGAGACTGCAGAAAATATAAAGCTATTATATTAATTCATCCTGCCTCTACAGTAAACTGGCCCATCATCCCAGGGATGGCCTAAACCTAAGTCCTTCTTCCTCAACACCAATGAACTGTTCCCTTCAGCCTTAAAATTAATAACCTTAATATCTATCTGGTATTTGTTTTTAACAGTGAGCAACCTACAGTGCATACATCTCCTTGATAACAGTGGAAGATCAAAGAACTTTTCTTATAACCTGCAATCAGCTACTCAGCCAAAAAACAAAACAAAACCTTGACTGCCTAAGGAGGAAGACTGTGTTCGGGTGAGCTGGCATAGCTAGTGCAGAGTTCAAATTTTCTGCTGATAATCTTTTACACTTTGGGAAAACTTTAATATCTGTACCTGAAGGCTTATTCACCTAAAAATGTGTTAACTCAAAGAAAATGTCAGAATGTTTCCTTTCTGCTCTTACACAGCATTGTTTTGTCAATCAGTGTAGCCTGCACTGAAAGGACCTGCATAGACTATGTCTGTGCAAAGTGCCCGGGTGTCTGCTTTCACCACAGTCTGTATGGTTGGAAATGAGAATTCATAATTAATAGTAAAATCTAAGGCAAACTAAGGCTGCTGGGTTGGGATTTCTGCCAGCTAGCTGGTACTGGCTTCCTGACTCAAGAGATGAACCTAAATGAGATAGGAAGCCTGTCCCACAGCAGCCTTCCTCTCACTACTTTCCTGGAATCTAATGCAACAAACTTATCACACACACCACATTCACATCCCACTGTTACTTCAAAATTAATCAGGTTTAAATTTTAGATCAGAATCATGACCCACTGTTTGCATTTAGAAATTGTACAAAAGACCATAGATATATTCTGGTGATTCCTTACATTTTACAGTTCCTACGTTAGCCTCTAAAGGCCAAAAGTTGCCGCCACGTCTTCTCTGAATGGCTTTCTCAGTGCTGAATACCAACAGCCGTATTACAGTATCAAGGATTCTGTCAGGTAGGGTTTACAGACCAGACTGTTCATGCAGCAAGGTGCCAACTCAGGCTTCAATGTTCTACTTGTATTTTCTGACCAACTTGCAGAAGTGAGCAATCTTCTTAAAATGCCATTCCTGTTGGCAGGGAAGAATGAAACGGCACACATCCTAGCATTCTAAGAACACCTGCTTTAAATAAAATCCAGTGATCATGGACTCTTTCACATTGTTTAAGGGGAAAGCTGCTGTGGGAATATAGACAGTAGGCATAAACAGTGATATATTTTACTCACAAGTATTTTGGGGGTTGCTTTCATTTTCTACACATCAGTGCCACTTCTGTGCTAAAGTTAAGAGACAGGCAATGAAGTGTTCGCTTAAGTTAACTACCTTGGTTTTTAGTGTGCTAATTACTATAAGTCATCGTTTTTGTGATCACAAAAACACAAAGAATGAGGTCTGCCTAGATGGGATTACAAAGATTTAACCAATTTCTTGGTACATAACAGAAGGTACCACAGGATCACTCTCTGTTTTGTAAATATTTCGCTCCCATGAAATGCACAATGCACAACGCGTGTGACCATGTATTGTGTGCTAGTCCGGGAAGCCAGCATACACATTAATAGGAACTCCCAAGCATTATTTTCCTACATCAGTGCAAAGAAGGTTCATAAACTTCTTTAAAAGTTCAGCTTTAATGACAAAAGATCTATTACATCAGTCTTTCTTCAAAATAAGATAGACGTGAATAAACAACTTCAAACAGGAGGTACCACGGCCTCTTCAATACACTGTAGCCAGTGCGCTGGGCCCTTGGGGATGCCCAGTGATATACACGTTGAAGCAGTAATGTAAGTCTGTGAGCCACTGTTCCTGAACACTTCCACTCTTCAATGTCTGGAGAGAAAAACAAGAGTAATTTGAGAATTGTACCCAAATCTCTATGCTACCTGACAGTATTTTTCACACCCAAACACAATTTCCCAGAGCTGTGGCAACTGCATCCCCGTCTATAAATTACCATAGGAAGTCTTCCAGGAAACAGGGAACTATTAATCGGGCATTACCACAGGCGGTGGAAATTCCTAGTTATATCCTCAAATGCCAACGGTTTCTTGTTGAGTGTGTTCCCTCCTGCACATGCTAGAGACTAATGAAATTTCACCACCAACCGTCCCTTCACCCTTGCCTCCCCCTCTTGCCATTCTAGTGTCTCATGATCTTTACCCCAATGCCAACTGAGAATAACTCTACAGGGCCAACCAACAATTTCTGTCAATCTCTTCTTTACAGAAATGGGCTGATTCTCCAGTCTGGGAATAATCCAAGCTCTTGATTTTCTTCCCTTCACTATTTCTGAATTATTCCACTGCCACTTCCATTACCCCTACAAAGGCTACTGAGAAAATTCTAATGAGCACCTGTGTTATATGCATGTAAAAGCACTATTACTTCAAAGTATTACTACAAATCTCAAGGGACAACCTGCAAATCAAACTATACAAAACACCTTTTTAACACCCCCAAACTAAAATCACCAAAGAAATCCTAAATAACGGAGCTGTCCCCGCCAAACAGACACAGCTGAAGGCAGAGACCCAACCATTAGACAAAGCTGAAGTCTGCAACTACTTCTGATTTTCTTACTTTCCAGTGAACTAAGTGACTAGAAATTGGCCTGAAGTTTATTCCTGCTAATTTCCTTAATGACAACATTTACTGAACACTTTACAAATGTCAGGTATACTAAAAAATTTACTTTGGTTATCTCCTTTAATGATCACCAAAACACAATAAAGTTGGCATTATTCCCATTTTTGTAGATAGGAAAACAAGCTTGGATAGGTAAGAAAGAAAGAAAACAACTTGCCCAGCTGTCACAGTTCATTAATAGAGTCTGTATTACAGTCTAGGTAGGAATGACTCTGATGCCCTTACCTTTTCAAACTAAACTAAGCTTTGTCACCTTCATTTAGTTTGATTATTTTAAGACTTTTACTACCATTTCTGGAATAACAGACACACACCCCCGTTAAGTCACAGTCAGGTGCTGGACAGCACAGGAGACCCTGAGAAATTACCACACTGGGATTAATTCCTGGACTCAATATATGGGATCTCTTTCCTCCCTCAAAACACACTTCCCTCCCATGCCCCTGTCATAAATTCATTCTTATGCTAATATTGCAAAGCCTCCAGTACCATGCTTCTTACCGTGATATTCTTGATGATCTGCTGCACCAAGATCGCATTGGTCAACATATGAGTCCTGAGGGGTGCGTGCTGAAGCAGCAGTCGAAGCAGCTGGCCCACAACAGGCAGCTCCTCAGGCCCAACTCTGTTCACCCGCAGGCTCTGCAGCATCAACCTGAGGACTCGAGGCAAGAGAGCCAGGATGGAGACACAGACCCCCCACAGCTTGTCCCTAAAATAACAGAGACAGAAATGAGTCAGTGAGCAAATGCACACAGGAAAAGCCCCCACTTTCCATATCCCCCCAAACTGAAATGTCCCTTTAAGAAACATGTTTTCCAATAACATTTAAGCCGAGAGCCAAATCAAGAATGCAATCTTATTTACAATAGCCCCCCCCAACACACACACGAAATACCTAGGAATACATCTAACCAAGGAGGTGAAAGATCTCTACAAGAAAGACTACAGAACACTGCTGAGAGAAATCACAGATGACACAGATAAATGAAAAAACATTGCATGCTCATGAATTGGAATAATCAGTATTGTTAAAATGGCCACACTGCTCAAAGCAATCTCCAGATTCAACTGTATTCCTATCAAACTACCAACATCATTCTTCACACAATTAGAAAAAAATATTCTAAAATTCATATGGGACCAAAACAAGAGTCAGAATGGCCAAAGCAATCCTAAGCAAAAACAACCTGACTTCACACTATACTACAAGGCTACAGTAACTAAAACAGCATGGTAATGGTAGAAAACAACAAACACATAGACCAGTGGAACAGAAAAGAGAACCCAGAAATAAAGCCACATACCTACAACTATCTCATCTTCAACTCAGGTGACAAAAACAAGCAAAAGGGCAAGGATTCCCTATTCAATAAATGGTGCTGGGACAACTGGCTATCCTTTTGTAGAAGAATAAAAATGGATCCCTATCTTTCATCATATACAAAAAATTAACTTGGCCAGGCATGGTGGCTCACACCTGTAATCCCAGCACTTTGGGAGGCTGAGGCAGGTGGATCACGAGGTCAAGAGATAGAGACCATCCTGGCCAACATGGAGAAACCCTGTCTCTACTAAAGATACAAAATTAGCTGGGCATAGTGGCATGCGCCTATAGTCCCAGCTACTTGGGAGGCTGAGGCAGGAGAATTCTTGAACCCGGGAGGCGGAGGTTGCAGTGAGCCAAGATCCTAGCAAAAGAGCAAGACTCTGTCTCAAAAAAAAAAAATTAACTCAAGAAAGATTAAGAATTCATTACTAAGTCCTCAAAAGCAATTGCAAAAAAAAAAAAAAAGGTGGGACCTAATTAAACTGAAGAACAAGAGAAACTCTCCACATTTCAGTAAACCTGGTGTTTTTCACTAACATTTAGGCTAAGAGCCAAATCAAGAACAATGAACATCATTCTCTTGGTATCTTTATAGAGCAAAATGTTTATGGTAGAGACAGGTGACCCTGCAGCTAGCCTAACCACATTCTACAAGTGTTAATTAGATAGTGCAATATTCATATGGACCTAGAGTCCACTGACTATGAAAGGCTCTGACTTTGTTGCAGCTTCTTTACCAGGAGCGTATAATCCTCCTAGTTCCCAAATCTTTCTGAGAGAACCTCACTACCTCCAGGTCTAGAGGGAGCAGCCCTTTCACCATATAACCAATTTCCCTGACTCCACATATGGTAATTCCATCTATGGTGAATGGTGAATCCATTCTAGGCCAAATAGATACTCTTATGTAGAGCCCAGCTGGGACAGTCATGTGCAAGGAGAAAAGAGAAAGCCGGGCCGGGCGCAGTGGCTCAAGCCTGTAATCCCAGCACTTTGGGAGGCCGAGACGGGCGGATCACGAGGTCAGGAGATTGAGACCATCCTGGCTAACACGGTGAAACCCCGTCTCTAATAAAAAAAAAAAATACAAAAAACTAGCCGGGCGAGGTGGCGGGCGCCTGTAGTCCCAGCTACTCAGGAGGCTGAGGCAGGAGAATGGCGTAAACCCGGGAGGCGGAGCTTGCAGTGAGCTGAGATCCGGCCACTGCACTCCAGCCTGGGCAAAAAAAAAAAAGAGAAAGCCGGACTGCAGACGTAGATAACGCAAAGGCACAGAGATACAGACTACACAAACTAGAAGAAAAATAGAGTAAGCTGCTTTGTCCGTTGCTAAATTTCTAATTCCTAGCCCTTGAGTTTTACAAGTTACTCCTATAATAATCAATATTTTCATTTTCTACTTTTCTTAATTTGAGTGGATTTCAAATAACCACAGACCTTTAAAAAAAAGATAGCCAACCTCAAGGCCAGATGGGTGAAACCTCTAGGTGACAGAAACTATAACAAAATTCATATAAAGATACCCAGTCATACAAAACTGTATGTGGGATTCTAGGGCTAGGATTTTCAACAGTCAAGAGTACTGGAAGCTGAGGCTTCAAAACCCAGGTATGGAAGGCAAGGAGTTTGAACTATGATCCTTGCATAAAATGGGAAGCCAGGAAAACGCAAATGTCAAACTATCCTACAGGGAAGTCTACAAACCTCCACAGAACTCCCACAAAAGACACCTTAGGGAAAAGAGTCTTGCAGCCCAAAATATACAAGTCTGTTCAACTTGCTCCCTAAAATAAGGGAGAATGCCCACACCGGAGAAAAAAGGAGCTAATGGAACTAACAAGAACTTTAAAGAAACACCAGTAAACCAAGAAGCAAGAATGACAAAATACCAAATGAAAATCCAAAACAGAAACAAATCCAAAAGAAAACAAAACAATAATTGATGAAATAAAATCTCAGTAGGAGGATTAAGTAAAAGAATTAGCAAATTAAAAGATTTTTAAGAGATAAAGAAGACAGAATAAAAAGCTTCCTATGTTTAAAAGGAGTTTTTACAAGAAAATAGAAACAATGGGGGAAGATGGTTAGAAATTAATAACAACTTTCCAGACTTGAAGAAAAAAAATTGAATCTTTGTATTATGGAAGCACACTATGTCTCGGGCAGGATAAATAACAAACCTACACTAGGACACATCCTGATCTGCAACACACCGAAGATGAAGAGAAAACAGTAAAAATATAGATTACTACCTATAAGATTACTGCCTACAAACTAAGAGGGCTCAGACTAATAGCAGATTTTTCATTAGTAACACTGAGGCAAGGAGACAATAGAACAGTATCTTCAAGGCACAGCAGACACAGTACTAAACAACTCAACTTGGTCAAACCTAACTTTCTGACCAGCATTTGTGAAATCAAAGGCTCCCCAGTAATTTGACCAGCACTCTCATCATTTTGTAATCTTATAAACACCTTCTCCAGTGGGGAAGAAATAACCCAAATGGGAATTTTAGTACCTAAGACTTTGGCTGCCAACTGTGCCTAATATCCTAGTAATGTCAACCTTTCCAGTACCCAGTATAGAACACCTGTAAAACTGGGCATTTTAAACAGGCAAACAAGTATTACACACACTTAATTTTGTTCATTCCAGCCACATGAAGTCAAAGGATGTTTCACTATAAGAGACTGTAATAGATCTTTGAAACTTTGCATGAAGTTGTTTTAGGAGCCATATCAAGTGACAGGAAATAACAAATAGCAATACACACATTTCATTAAGTGGGGATCTTATAAAATCTCTAGAACCCTGAGAAGTTCCTTGCTACTTATAAAGCCTTTTCTTGACCTGTCAGACCTAAAGTTTGATGATGTATAAGAAAACTATCATCAAATTTATGTTATGCATAAATTTTATAGTATATTTAAAGTGAAACACAAAATTTTTTCCATACACATACTCTTACTGGAAAAAATTTGAATGCTGACAATAAAATGGCTAAGTTATAGTACATGCATGTAACAGAATACTACAGAGCAGACTGAGCAAACTATGGCCACAGGCCAAATCCAGCCCATGACAAGTATTTGTAAATAGTTTTACTGGAACACAATCATACTTATTTATTTACATATTATCGATTGATGCTTTCACACTACCATGGTAGTGTTGAGTAGCCATGACAGAGACCTTAATGGTCTGCAAAACCATTAGTAAAATTAGTAAAAAAAAATATTTACTAACTGACCCTTTATAGAAAGAAGTTTGCTGAACCCTGGTATGCAGAAATAAAAATGAATGAAATACAGCTAAATGAATCAACTTCAACCAATCTCAAAAGCAATGCTGAGAGAATCAAATCACAAAAAATACATGCAGTGTAATCCCCATTACAAAAAATCCACAAATAATGCAAAACAAATATGATACTGTTAAAAAATGCACATAAAACCTTTTTTTATAAAGGTAATGAAGTTGATCAACACCAAAGTGATCTGGGGCAGAGGGGTACGTAAAAGACATTTAACTGTACAGGGTACATTAACAGTATATGTGCTGATGATATTCTATATCGGAACCTTGGGGTTGGTTAAATGGAGGCTCAGTTTATAATTACCTTTTAAACTACATACATGTTTTTAATACATTCAGTATATGTATTTTCATGTCATTTAAAAGTTCAAAAAAGGCCAAAAGGCACACATCAAAACATTAACAGCAGGTGACAGAATATTTGCCAACCTGTTAGCAGGTTTTAAAACCTTCTACAATGAACTTTTAATGGGCACACCAATAAGAATACAAGCATAAAATACTTTTTAAAATGAAAGTAAAATCTTCCCAACTATGCTAAAAGCTCTAGCCTGAATATTATACATGAGCAAAAGTACTAATTAAAAACACTAGCATCTTAGAAACATTTCCTTAAATCCAAGATTTTAAAATTCCCACTCTGGCTAGCTCTAATGAAGCTCAAAACAAAATACAAAGGTTTGTACTAATAGCCCATCCTCCTAAGGGTAGAATTATTTTTCTTGCTAGACTTACAGCAATGTTAATAAAAGAAACCTCACAAAAAATTTTATAATGCCATCTAACTTTTCAAATTTGTAACTTAAAGGGGAAAAAAACAAAAAACTAAAAATTTTCACGACAACACAAAGGGGATTCATGAAGGAACAAAGAAAAAGCTAGCCAGGCTGACACAAACTCTCTGACAGAGACTTTAAGGTATTTGTATAACCTAATTATCTTTAACTGTCTCTTATTATTTGGTTGGGGGAGGGAGAACAGTAGGAAAATTAAGGTTGAAGAATAAAAAATAATTACCTTTTTCTTAGATGTTCTGCTTCCCCCTTCTCTATAGTGAGCAGAAAATAAAGAAGACTGTAGCAACAAGAAGCCAGAAATGGCAGTAGAGTCTCACTAACTACACAAGTATGATCCAGGAGCTTACAGATAACACCAAAAACACAGCCAGCCGTGCTGTCAGGAATTACAGTCAACCCAACCTAAGCAGAGAAAAACAAGATTAATTACCTCTTCAAAACAGCCCCCCTCCTGCAAATAAAACCAAAACCTGTTAATTCATGATTAACTGTACATCATTTCTACTGAAAACTAATATATACCTAACACATACCACCTGCCACACCTTAAGGTCCTGTTTTTCTTTGAGAATTTAATCTCTAAATTAAATGACTCTGAAAACATGCAAACACAAGAAGTGCTATTAACCCAATCCACTGTCTGCCCTTCACGACAAAGTCTTCTGAATTTTCTATAAAATGTCTACTGCTGGTTAGAAATTACTATTTAAAGGGATTATTTCATGTACTCAAAATCTGAGTACCAACAATCACACTTAAAAATTTTTTAATTATTCAGGCTGGAAAACTTGCATGTGGCACCACTCCTATGCCAGGTAATTAAATGTATAAATAGCTCATTTTAAAATTAGCCTTCCTCTGCACTTTGATTTAGTCATTCAGACATGAATAAACATACCTCTACTGGAGTCAGTAAAAGATATTACTATAGTTAACATTTGACTGCTTCACTGCCAAGAAACCCAGTAAAGGTCATTAGGGTTTGTTAATTCATCTAGAATGTACTGTATGCATTGTCATTAAGGTACAATCTAACTTGTTACTGTATATATACATGGTTTCAATCTCCTGGAGACTACTGTTGGGTAATGATTTTAGAAAGTCTGCAAACTCTGATGTCTTAACCTCCTCCACAGGCTGTGTGAAAATAGTGGCCAAGACTGTCTGGCATATCGATCTTTTACTAGAATAATGAATGTAGTCAAAGGAGAGTCTAATTCTCCAGAGTGGAGGTAGAGAAAAAAAAAGTGGGCATTGTTGATGACACAGGGATAAGGATTGCAAGTTTGACAGCAGGGAGAAGGTACCAGGAATTCAAAGCAGCACTCTCTTCCAACTCAAGGGAAATAACATTTTAAAAGAGAAAAAGGAGTCTGGATATGCCTGTATTTTATCCAAGCAAGTATGTTTCTCAAAGATATAATTTGGGAGCCCTGCTTTGTACTATTATACATTACAATAAAAAGCCAAAGATAAAGAGTGTAAACACTGGAGGAAGTTAAAAGCAACTACAGAGGTATATCTAATGTGGATTTAATACCAATGGAAATGAGACATCCAGTATCAAGTAACAGGCCAGTCTCAGGGTTGAGTCTACAGCTTCCAGGGACCACACCTTGTGCCAGGTTAGATAATGTGCCTACTTTGGACCCCAAACCTTCTAGGTGGAACCCAGACTCCAGTCTAGATGTTGAATTCTCAATACACTGAGGCAAAGTACATGCGAATTACAGAAGTTGGAAAGGATTTGAAGTTTAATTTTCAGGTCCCTTATTTCACTGATTTAGAAAAGTGAGGTCCTAAGAAGAGACTGTTCCCAAGGTCACTCAGAATTAAATTAATAACAGCCAGGAAAAATACCAAGATTCCTCAGTTCTTGCCAATGCATCATGCTGCAAGAGGCTATGGTATCATTAAGCTTAGAATTCCAGATACACTATTTCTGGGGCTATGGTAAACTCTATTCTAACCAATGCATCTTGTGTTCATTCTTAAGAGAAAAAGTTGAAGGATACTTACCAAATGCTTACTGATGGCACTTTGCAGGATGTCAAAGTTCTGACTTCGGGCAGGAATAACCAATAAACTGTGAAAAACTGCCTGTCAGAAAAGGAGAAAACCAGTAACCAAATCAGAACATTTTAGGTCAGAAACAAGTTCAACAGATTTTTTTTTTTTATCTCTGAGACAGAGTTTCACTCTGTCACCCAGGCTGAAGTGTAGTGATGCAATCTCAGCTCACTGCAACCCCCATGACCTTCAAGCAATCCTCTGGCCTCAGCCTCCCAAGTAGCTGGGACTACAGGTGCACACCACCATGCCCGGCTAATTTTTGTATTCTTAGCAGAGATGGGGTTTCACCATTTTGCCCAGGCTCACCTTAAACTCCTGGATTCAAGCAACCCACCTACCTCAAGACTCCCAAAGTGCTAGGATTACAGGTGTGAGCCACTGTGCCCAGCAACAGATTCTTTTAATACTTACTTGCTCTACATATTTATAGGAAACATGTAACAAATTACTCTGAAGATGTAAATGTCAAAGATCAAACAAATAGACCTTAATATTTGGCCTAATTTTCCAAATAATTCATCTACTAATCATTTATTGACTACTGAGCTAGCCCCTATTAGGTGCCATGCACAGGAATAAAAGAATGAGAAACCTTCTCTTCTTTCTCATACCCCTCAAGTGGCTTACAATCTACCAACATGGAGACTGTACAGTAAGTCCTCACTTAACAACTTTAGCAGGTTCTTGTAAGCTATGACTTTAAGCAAAACAATGTATAATGCAATCATTTTTCCCCCCAATCAACATTATTAAAAAAAGTTTTTCAGCCAGCCTGGTGGCTCATGACTGTAATTCTAGCACTTTGGGAGGCCAAGGTAGGAGGACTGCTTGAGCCCAGGAGTTTGAAACCAGCCAGGTCAACATAGTGGTACCTCATCTAGAAGAAAAAAAAAAAAAAGTTGGGCCAGATGTGGTAGCACGTGCTTGTGGTACCAGTTACTCGGAAGGTTGAGACAGGAGGATCGCCTGAGCCCAAGTGGTTGAGGCTGCAGTAAGCCATGATGGTGCCACTGCACTGTAGCCTGGATGACAGAGTGAGACACTGTCTCCAAAAAATATGTTATTCAAGGACCTAGTGTATATGTCATTTCCGTTTCCTAAAGAACCTACTGAGGATATTAAGTAAGGGCATACTGTATTTCTATTGAGTGCTACAACAGAAAGATCTGAGTGATATGAACAAAGGGCTAACAGAAGCTTTTTTTGCCCACCTGATAGAGAAATGTATCACAGAAAAATATTTATGACCCAGAAAATACAAATATCCTGTTCAATTTATTCATGACACTGCCTCCTATTCTCTAAAGGTAAAAAAGAAATCTGCACAAAAAGTAGAGTTAGAAGTAAAACCCCTAGTATTTTTAATTTCCTAAGTTTTCAGATAAACAAGAGGAGTCAAGAACAGTACTGTCCTTCACAGATACCAGTCACAGCACAAACTCCCAGAATCTGATACAGTATACTATCAAAAATAAAATATGTAAAAACATCACATGAAAAAAACAAGAATGGGGAAAGGAAGAATATCACTCTAGGAAGAGATCAGTCAATTAAGTTCAAGAGAGCTGTCATCTAGCCCTGAAAAATCAAGACTTTTTGTACTTTGTTATTTACAGATTTGAGAGTGGGGGCAGGGATCAACAGATCTATACATTATTTCTCTGTAAAGTTTCTTATAGATACTACCCAGATAATTTATTTGGTAACTTTTTCTTTTATACCTATAACTAACAATCAGAAAAAAATCATTTCCAAGGCCATCTTCCTACTTCAAAACAAACATGGTGAATATTTTTATTAATCAAAGGTAAACCACATTTGAAAAGTGCACCTTCAATAATAACCACTTCATCACTTCCCTTCTGCCTCCCCTTGCTGCCCTAAACGATTCAGTTCTAAAGCCAATGGGTGGGGCCAAACTAGGTAAACTTTGGCACTGGATTTGGCGGGAGTGCTGAGATGGCCCAGAGTAGACAGCCTGCAAGAACCAGAGTCCAAATGGAGTGAGATGAGAGGGGTGGGAGCAAAGAAAGACTAATTACAGAGAAGCTGATCAAGTAAATATATTAAGTATAACTGGAGCCAGGTTTCTATCAGAGAAAGCAGGTACAAAAAAGAAACAGGATATAACTAGAATAAACTCTGTGGTGTTGAATGATGACTTTATGTCCAGTAAGAGGATACGGGAGAAGCAACACCCAACAGCAATAAGCACACCTAAATTCCACATGTTGGTTTCTAAATTCCATTCTCCACTGTTCTTTGCAGAAAACTGGTCTGCCATAACTACTCTAATATAATCTTCTCTTTCACAAATAGGAGACCACCTGAACTCTCCCCAAGTATCATACCAAGAAATTTACATGTGCTACCATACCCATAAGAAGCTGAGCTTTCCCTGAGAACTTACAAGTCACCATACAGACCCTGAGAGATAAAAGCAAGCTGAAAACCTAAAATAAATGTAAGATTTCAAGACCTGTAAGTAAACAACAGTACCAGGCACTATGGGTAATAAAATGAGGATGTCATTGGCATGACCCTAGCATTGTGACCAGAGTCAAACAAAGCCATGAGAGAAATAAGTTAAATAACTATAAAAGATATAGTCCCTAGAGATAGGAAGAACATGAAGAGAATTCAAAATAAAATGAAAATATCAAGTTAATAAATTAATTGACACACCACCAACAACAAAAAAAAGAATTAGGTTGTAACTTGAACTGAGAGACTACCCTGTTGAGAACACTGTCAAAACTGGCTAACAAAAAATAAAATCAGCCAGGAGAGAATATTACTTCAGATTTTGCATGAAAAAAATGAAACCAATATTACTTAGGATGGCATAATTTTGCATTCTCACTGGACAAGCACCTTTGAATGTTAAGAAATAGCAGCCAGGCACAGTGGCTCATGCCTGTAATCCCAGCACTTTGGGAGGCCAAAGCAGGTGGATCACCTGAGGTCAGAAGTTCAAGACCAGCCTGGCCAACATGGTGAAACCCCGTCTCTACTAAATATAAAAAATTAGCCGGGCATGGTGGCAGGCGCCCATAATCCCAGCTAGTTGGGAGGCTAAGGCAGGAGAATCGCTTGAACCCGGGAGGCAGAAGTTGCAGTGAGCCGAGATTGTGCCATTGCACATCAGCCTGGGCAACAAGAGTGAAACTTGGTCTCAAAAGAAAAGGAAAGAAATTTAAGAAATAAAGAATAGGCTCAAGCACGGTGGGTCACGCTTGTAATCCCAGCACTTTGGGAGGCCAAGGCAGGCAGATCACTTGAAGTCAGGAGTTCAAGACCAGCCTGGCCAACACGGTGAAACCCCGTCTCTACTAAAAATACAAAAATTAGCCAGGTGTGGGGGCTCATACCTGTAATCCCAGCTACTCAAGAGGCTGAGGCAAGAGAATCGCTTGAACCCAGGAGGCGGAGGCTGGCAGTGAGCTGAGACTGCACCACTGCACTCCGGCTTGGGCGACAGACAGAGTGAAACGATGTTTCCAAAAAAAAAAAAAGAAAAAAAGGAGAGACAAATAGGTATGTAATGTAGTCTTCTTTTCTCTGCTGTGTCCCTGTATAGTTTTGGTATCATGTGATACTGGTATCACAGAATGAATTAAGGAGAATTCCCTCTTCCCTCCTTGATTTTTGGAAACAATTTCACGAGAATGGGTATTAGTTCTTCTTTGTACATTTGGCAGAATTCAGCTGTGAATCCATCTGGTCCTGGGCTTTTCATTCTTTGGAGATCTTTTTTTTGAGATGGAGTCTCGCTCTGTCACCCAGGCTGGAGTGCAGTGGCACGATCTCGGCTCACTGCAACCTCTACCTCCTGGCTTCAAGCGATTCTCCTGCCTCAGCCTCCCAGGTAGCGGGGACTACAGACTCATGCCACCACACCTAACTTTTGTATGTTTAGTAGAGACAGGGTTTCACCATAGGTGAGGCTGGTCTTGAACTCCTGACCTCGTGATCCTCCCGCCTCAGCCTCCCAAAGTGCTGGGATTACAGGCATGAGCCACTGCACCCGGCCTGGAGATTTTTTTATTACCAATTTAACCATACTACTCATTATTGGTCTGTTCAGATTTTCTGTTTCATCCTGGTTCAACCTTGGGGAGTTGTATGTTTCCAGGAATTTATCCATTTCCTCTAGATTTTTCAGTTTGTAGGTGTATAGTTGTTTGTAATAGTCCCTGTGGTATCAGTTGTTATGTCTCCTTTTCATTTCTGTTTTTGTCTATTTGGATCTTCACTATTCTTGCTTAGTCTAGCTACTGGCTATCAATCTTATCTTTTTGAAGAACCAACTTTGCATTTTGTTGACCCTTTGTATTGTTTTCTGATCTCTATTTCATTTAGTTCTGCTCTAATCTTTGTTATTTCAAGTCTTCTGCTAATTTTGGGCTTGGTTTGTTCTTACTTTTCGTTCCTTAAGGTACAATGTTAGGTTGTTGATTAGTAATCTTTCTACTTTTTTTCATGTAGACATTTAATGCTACAAATTTCCCTCTCAGCACTGCTTTTCCTGTATCTCATGGGTTTTAGTATGATTTGTTTCCATTTTCAATTGTTTCTAAAATGTTCTGTATTTCTATTTTAATTTCTTCAGTGACTCAATAATTGCTCAGGAGCATGTCATCGTTCAGGTGTATGTTTTTTAATTTTGCAATATTTCAATGCAAAGTGATGTATTTGCATCATTTGTAAAGTTCCTCTTGGTACTGATTTCTTATTTTATTCCACTGTGGTCTGAGAAGATACTTGGTATAATTTTGATTTTTTAAAATTTGTTGGGACTTGTTGTGACCTACCATATGGTCTATTTGGGAGATCAATAGTTCTATGTGATGATGAGAAGAATGCATATTCTGCAGTTTGTTGAGTAGAATGTTCTATAAATGTCTGTAAGGTCCACTTGGTCTAAAGTTCAACTTAAATCCAATGTTTCTTTGTATTTTCTTTCTCAATGATCTAATGCTGAGAGTGGGGTGTTACAGCACCCCACTATTATTGTATTGCCATGTATTTCTTCCGTTAGGTCTAGTAATACTCATGGAATCTGGATGCTCTGGTGTTGGGTGCATATATATTTAGAATTGTTGTATCCTCTTGCTGAATTGATCCCTTCATCATTACATAATGATTTTCTTTGTATTTGTTAAACCTGTTTCTGATTTGAAGTCTGTTTTACCTGTAAAAGTATAGCTACTCCTGCTCACTCTTGGTTTCTGTTTGTATGAGTATCTTTTACCACCTCTCTAATCCCAACTTTCAGCCAATAAATTACTATTTGGCTTTCAGAGTTTTTTTGCTTTTTCCTTTCAGCACTTTGATTATGCCATCCCATTCTCTTTTGGCCTGTAAGGTTTCTGCTAAAAAGTCTGCTGTTAGTCTGATGGGATTTTCTTTATAAATGACTAGACACGATTCTCTTGCTGATTTTAGAATTCTCTCTTTCATTTTGACTTTAGACAGTCTGATTATAATATGTCATGATGAAGTCCTTTCTGCAATGTATTCTCCTGAGGACTGCTGGGCCTTCTGAACCTGGATGTCTAAATCTCCTGCTAGGCTTGGAAAGTTTTCACCAATTACTTGGTTGGCTAGGTTTTCTAAACTTTAAATCTTTCTTCCCCTTGGGAATACCAATAATTCATAAGCTTAGTCACTTTACATAAGTCCCAAATGTCCTGGAGGCATTATTCATTCTTTTACTCCCTTATGAACACAGACACAAAATTCCTCCACAAGATACTTGCAAATCAAATCTAAAAGTACATCAAAGATAATATACCATGATGCAGGGTTTCTATCTCAGGGGTGCAAGAATGGTTCAATATACACAAACCAATAAATGTGATACTTCACATGAACCAAATTAAGGACAAAAACCATATGATCATTTCAAAATACACAAAAAATGCATTTGATAAAATTCAGCATCCCTTCATGAAAAAAACTCTCAACAAACTCGGCACAGAAGAAACATACCTCAAAAGTAATAAAGGCCATCCATATATGACAAACCCACAGCCAACATCACACTGAATGAGGAAAAGTTGGAAAGATTTCTTGTAAGAAATGGAACAAGACAAGGATGCCCACTTTCATCATCCTATTCAACACAGTACATGACATCCTAGCCAGAGCAATCAGGCAAGAGAAAAAAAAGACATCCAAATTGGAAAAGAGGAAGTTGAATTATCCCTGTTTGCTGATACGATTATTTTTTAAGACATGGGGTCTCGCTCTGTTGCCCCAACTGGAGTGCAGTGGCACAGTCATAGTTCACTGCATCCTCAAACTCTTGGGCTCCAGCTATCCTACTGCCCCAGCCTTCCAAGTAGAGGTATTACAGGTGCATGCCACCATATCCAACTAGATGGTATGATCTTATATCTAGAAATGAATTCAAGATATAAGATCAACATACAAAAATCAGTAATTTCTATATACCAATAACTAGTTCAGAACAAAATCAAGAAGGCAATCCCACTTATAATAGCTACAAAAACAAACAAACCTAGGAATATATTTAACCAAGGAGATAAAAGAGCTCTACAAAGAGAACTAGAAAACACTGATGAAAGAAAATGTAGATGACACAAACAAATGAAAAAACATTCAATGTTCAGATAGGAAAACTGACATTATTAAAATGACAACACTATCCAAATTAATCTTTAGAGTAAATGAAACTGCTATCAAAATACCAATGTCATTTTTCACAAAATTAGAAAAAAAATCCTAAAATTAATATGGAACCAAAACAAGAGCCTGAATAGCCAAAGCAATACTAAGCAAAAAGAGCAAAGCTGGAAGTATCACATTCCCTGTGATACTTTACATTACCTACAAGGCTGTAGTAAACACAACAACATGGTACTGGTATAAAAACAGATGCATAGATCAAGGGAACAGAATAGAGAACCCAAAAATAATGGCACATATTTATAACCAACTCAGCTTTGACAAAGTCAACAAGAACTACTGTGGAGACAGGACAACTTTTACCATAGGTGCTGGGAAAACTGGAATGTCATGCAGAAAAATGAAACTGGATCTCTCTTACAATATACAAAAATCAACTCAAGATGGATTAAACACTTAAATGTAAGATATGAAACTACAGAAATACTAAGAACCTAGAGAAAACTCTTCTGGACATTGATCTAGACAAATAATTCATGACTAACAGCCCAAAAGCACAAGCAACAAAAACAAAAATAGACAAATAGGACTTCATTACACTAAAAAATTTCTACACAGAAAAATAATTACCTAAGCAAACAGAAAACCTGCAGAATGGGAGAAAATATAGGCAAACCATGCATCCAACAGGAGACTAATACAAAAATTTACAATGCAAGGAACTTAAGCAACAGCAAAAAATCAACCACATTAAAAAGTAGACAGGATATGAATGGGTATTTTTCAAGATGACAAATTGGCCAAAAAGGCACACATGAAAAAATGCTCAACATCATTAATCATCAGAGAAATACAAATTAAAATCACAAAGAGATATCATCTTACACTAGTCAGAATGGATATTAAGAAGACAAAGGGAACACTTATACACTGTTGGTTGAGAATGTCAATTAGTACAACCTCTGTGGAAATCAGTAGAAAGATTTCTCGAATAACTGAAAATAGAACTACCACTCGATCCAGCACGCCTATTACCGTGTATGTACCCAAAGGAAAAGAAATAATTACATCAAAAAGATACCTATGGTTATTGCAGGACTATTCACAATTCACAATAGCAAACATATGGAATTGACCTAAATGTTCCAACATATGCGTGGATAAAGAAAATGTGATATTTACACACAATGAAATACTATTTAGCCATAGAAAAGAATAAAATCATGCCTTCTGCAGCAACATGGATGTAACTGAAGGCCATTATCTTAAGTGAAACAAGTCAGACACAGACAAATAGCGCATATTCTTCCTTGTAAGTGGGAGCTAAAAATAATGTCTCCTCATGGACATAGAGTGTGAAATGACAGACAACAGAGACTCAAAAGGGTGAATGGGTGGGAGTGGGGTGAATGACAGGAGATTACTTAATGGGTACAGTGTACGTTGTTGGGTGATACTCTCAGAAACCTGATTCACCACTGTACAGTCTTACGCATGTAACAAAACTGCATTTGTACCCCTAAATCTACACGCACACACAAAAGAATAAAAATAAACTTAAAAACTTAGAAATTAAATAAACCCTTAGTATTAATGTTTGTGATATTGTTTGTGTATTTAGTGTAAGTATTTGTAACATTTAAGACAATTTTGCCTATTAGGGCAAAAGATCAGCCTTGTACTTCCAATTTAAAATATGTCAGCCGCTGGGCATGATGCCATATGCCCACAGCCCCAGCTACTCAGATGGCTGAGGCAGGAGGATCACTTGAGCCCAGGAATTCAAGGCCAGCCTGGGCAAAACAGCGAAATCTCTTAAAAAGAAAACACCAGGCCGGGAGCAGTGGCTCACGCCTGTAATCTCAGCACTTTGGGAGGCCAAGGTGGGAGGATCTCCTGAGGTCAGGAGTTCAGCAGCCCAAAATGGCAAAACTGTCTCTACTAAAAACACAAAAAATTAGCCGGGAGTAGTGGCGGGTGCCTGTAATCCCAGCTACTCTGTAGGCTAAGGCAGGAGAAGCGCTTGAACCTGGGAGGCGGAGGGTGCAGTGAGCCAAGATAGCGCCACTGTACTCTAGCCTGGGTGACAAGAGCGAGACTCCGTCTCAAAAAAACAAAAACAAAAAACACCAAACCAAACCCCAAAACAGTAACAAAAAATACTTTTTAAAGTCAGTAGTTAATTAATTTAGACTTGTGGTTTTAATCTGAAGTTTCATTAAGTAGTACTAAAACATAAGATTTCTGATATTTATATGTTCAATTTATTAGCTATCTCTAAGATTTACTTCAATTATTTGTGAAGGTTTGTCAGAAAACTGAAGTATTTGACAAATACTATTACAGTTATTTAAGAAAGTAAAAAAAAATTGGTTTGTAAAAGGAATAAAATTAAATCAAAGTCCTCCTTTAAATGTTTAAATTTACTTAAAAAGTAAGACTTGTAGGCTGGGTGTGGTGGCTCATGCCTGTAATCCCAGCATTTTGGGAGGCCGAGGTGAGTGGATCACCTGAGGTCAGGAGTTCAAGACCAGCCCTGGCCAAGATGGTGAAACCCACCTCTACTAAAAATACAAAAAATTAGCAAGGTGTGGTGGCGCATGCCTATAATCCCAACTACTTGGGAGGCTGAGGCAGGAGAATCACTTAAACCTGGGAGGCGGAGGTTGTAGTGAGCCGAGATTGTACCACTGCACTCCAACCTGGGTGACAAGAGCAAAACTCTTGTCTCAAAAAAATCAAATCAAATCAAATCAAATCAAATAAAAATTAAGACTTGTAAACCAAACTTCAAAACTTAAAGAATTTGGGTTTTAAATTTAATTTTAATAAGCTACATAGTAATTCTTAAAACCAAAGGAACTGGTGAATAATCTTCCATTTAAAAAGTCACTTTCAAGGATACCAACTCTTACTTAAGTCTTATCCTTCAAAACCTCAATTCTTCCTCTTACATAATGCTTTCCTCTTTTAAAAAGACAGATCTATCATTCAAATTGCTGATTTGTTCTGTTCTACTGGCATAATTTATAAAGAATGTTTCCCTTTTCAAACTTACTTCTCCTATCCAAGATTATAAGCACTTTAAACAAGTATCTTTGAAAAGCTCTCACACAAGGCAGTTCACATATAGTAACTATTGCTGGCTGATGAACTGAATTTTAATAATTATCGGTTTCTTTTTAAATGAACTATTACCTCTGTTACATCCCAATGGTGTAAAAATTGATCCAAATCTGTAAGGTAGAGAAGCACAGGGGAAAGCTGTGTCTGGATGACATGAGGAACTCCTCGAAGGCTCTGAAGCCAAGTCAACTCCTCTTTCGAAAACCCTAATACAGGTAAACAAAGCCAATTTAAAAAAAAAAGCAGTGACATTTTTCATAATTTTTTAAAAAACAGAGATGACATGTCTTCAAGTGAACATTCTTTAAGCTACCTTGTTTTCTGAGCTTCTGCATTTCATGCAATATTTTAAAAAATAAAATGCTAGCAATGAAGACAGTTAAATTCATATAATTACATAAAAGATGTGATCAGACCCAATCTATAATATAGCAAGAAACCGGTTTTACCACTTCTACTAGGGTTTTGACACTTTTACTTAGAGTGAAAAGCATAATCTTTCCAATTAATGGTAGGTTTAAAAAAGCAAATGAGCAAGTAAAAGCAATAATATACTCCTACATATATATCAAATGCTTTAGTTTCTTAGATAATAGCCCTTCAAATGTTTTAAAACTACTCCATCACCCTAAGTGTTTTTACTTTGACAATACGTGTATAGTTCATTCAACAATTTCTAGTTCCCCTTACCACCTCTATTACACTTGGCCTAACCTACACAAACAACCTGCCAAAGTCACTCCTGAAAGGTAGTTCTCAGAACGATCAGAATACCACTGATGTGGCCCAACCCTATCTACCTTGATGTTCAAATCACTATACTTCTGTAAGCACAACCTAAAGAGGCAGCATCTAGTTTGATAGCCATGTACTGACTCCCAATGAGCTTTCTAAAACCACTAAAATCTTTTTGACAACTACTATTATTAAAACACAAAGCCTCCCCCACCTCAAATGTACACATTCAAAAGTATACAATAAACATATAGGAGCTTACGTTTATCTTCTGAAATATTTATCTTGCTAGATTCAGCATAGTATTGGAACTGTCAAGTTCTTTTTGGACTCTGACACTATATTAACTCTCCTAATTTCAAGTCTTCAGAAAATTTCAAAGAATCCCATCATTATCCAAGTATAAAATGAAAATATTTAAATACTGCATTTAAAATAATAGTAACAGTACATCAAACTTAAAAATACAATAACATGACATTCAAATAATGCTCAGGGTTTTGATACTCATACTATAAGAGATTTAAAGATAAATCATCCATACTCCTGCCTCAGGAGCCTAACAATGTAGGTTAGAAATATTCTTTCGATTTCCACTTACTAATCACAAAAATCACTCCAAGACAGAATATTTATCATCTTCAAAACTGAACCAAACTGATAAAATGGCAAATCTTAGAAGGATAATTGTGATTCACATTAGGTTTTTTCTTTTTTAATCTGGCAAGTGAATGTGGTTACCTGTAAGTGTGGAAAATAAGAAGCTGAAATAGTCCACATCACTCATCAACCAGTCTTTAGCTGAATACTTCCACCCAGAAAATGATGATCTATAAAAAACAAAGGGAGAAGTATTACCAGAAGTGACCAACTTGACAGACTTTTCAAAGGTAGCACAGTATATAACCATTTTTCTTTGCTGAAAACAAGTTTGATTTCATAGCTTAAAACCCATATATGCCTTGTATTAATTTCATATCCAAGGGCTCAGGTACCATAGTAGAAAAGTTTGAAATTCAAACATATTAATACAAACTTTCATTAAAAAGCATACTTGATCAACATATATAGTATAACAGAAGATTTCCATCCCACTTGAAAATCAGACTCTAAGGAGCCAAGATGAAGTTTTGCTTTTCAGTGGCAGGTTCAGCTGCTATGTATTTACTATTTGATTTTTATAGTCTTACCCTCAGCAAATGAGTTATGTTTAAACAAGCTTCAGCTTCCTACATAACTAAGCAAAAGTATCTTAATTAGGTAAAGAAAACTTATCTTTAAAGCCACTGTAAGGCAACTCTGTGTTCTTATTCTTAGTAAAGTTGTAACTAGGTCTATTTCACAATAGTGCAGCTAAGGTATTGGCAGAGGACTCAAAAGGAATAGCTAAATGTAAAGCAGCTTCTCATTAAATGAGAATTATTTGGTTCCTCCTATGAGATCAGTTTCTAGTGTCTCCTTTAAAAATTCCCTTCAAGGTAAAGCTAGGAAGAAAACAAATGTCAACCATGGGTGTTGCAGAAAGGCTCAGAATAATCAGACAAGCTGATACTAAAAATTTTTTATCACAGACATCTGAATAAATATCAAACAAAATTAGGAACTTCTAATTCACCTATAAGCACTTAGTAATTTTTTTACTGTTATAATAATTGGACTTATATTTATTAATATATATATTTTTTGAGATGGAGTTTCACTCTTGTTGCCCAGGCTGGAGTGCAATGAATGGCATGATCTCAGCTCACTGCAACCTCCACCTCCTGGGTTCAAACGATTCTCCTGCCTCAGCCTCCTGAGTAGCTGGGATTATAGGCGTCCTTAATTTTTGTATTTTTAGTAGAGATGGGGTTTCGCCATGTTGACCAGCCTGGTCTCAAACTCTTGACTTCAGGTGATCCGCCTGCCTTGGTCTCCCAAAGTTCTGGGATTACAGGCGTGAGCCACTGCACCCTGCCTTATTAATATTCTTACGAGGGGACGGGCATAAAATAATGAAAACACTCTTCTTGGGTGTCATTCCCAGGTGATAAGCAAAGGTCTATGGGGCAAGAGCACAAGCTAAGGGGGTTATAAAAAGTACAGATGCTCGGGCCAGGCGCGGTGGCTCACGCCTGTAATCCCAGCACTTTGGGAGGCCGAGGCGGGCGGATCACAAGGTCAGGAGATCGAGACCACGGTGAAACCCCGTCTCTACTAAAAAAAATACAAAAAATTAGCCGGGCGCGGTTGTGGGCGCCTGTAGTCCCAGCTACTCGGGAGGCTGAGGCAGGAGAATGGCGTGAACCCGGGAGGCGGAGCTTGCAGTGAGCCGAGATCGCGCCACTGCACTCCAGCCTGGGCGACAGAGCGAGACTCCGTCTCAAAAAAAAAAAAAAAAAGTACAGATGCTCAACAGAAAGAAGTACAAAATAGTGGTTGGAAAACAAACTATTATCTTCTTGAACTCAATGAAAACAGGAAGCCACTGTGCCATCCAGTGGCCAAAAGGGGCAGCAAATTTATTTAACAGCCTATTTAAAATTCTGACCCTGTGAAAAGTGATAAATGACAAGCAATATAGCACACTGTCTTTAAAACTAAACTATGAAAACCATATATACTTTCCAAGCCTGAACACTTCTGTGAGCAAAAGAGGGTGCTGGTGCTGATTATGCTGGGCCAAAAGGAGTAAAATGGAACTGTTCCTGGCAGACCAGGTCATATGTTCACCCTATTTGAAACCCGAGCCAAACTTCCTGGTACAAGCTAATTTCTCCTTCCTCAGAGATTTTATCTAACACCATGGAGCATCTTTCCATATTTATGCTTTCTGTTCCCCCAATCTGGCTATAAATAAATTGGGGTAGTGGGGTAAGAACTGAGAAAAGGCCACTGGATATTACGATGAAACACCACAAGTAGAATGGTATGAGGAAAACATCAGATTATAAAAAAACTATAACTTGCTGGTAAAAAGGTAGAGACAGCAATTCCAAACACATTTTTTAAAAGCTGAGAGAAACATGAATGATTTCTAGCTGATGGGTTTTTAACACGTGGAATCCCTGCTTAGGTGGTACATGTCCTGCCATTAGACAAATGCTTTAATACAGATGGCAAGGTATCAGAACTACAAAAATTGAGCTAAACTTAATCTCACAGACCAATTAATGTGACAAGATAAAAATCAGAATTGAGTAAAGGAGTATTGCAGAAAAATCAATCTGGCAACAGTGCACAGGATGCATGGGACTGAAAAGCAGTATTTTAAGAGTGTAAGTGGCAAATAATTTAAAAGTTCACTTTTATAGTCATGGTCAAGGAGTTATTTTGAATAAAAAACTAAAGATATGAAGTAACCCAACATATATATGTCTGAATGAACTAACCTTCAGTCCTTTTTTTAAGATGGAGTCTCCCTCTGTCACCCAGGGTGAAGTGCAGTGGCACTATCTCAGCTCACTACAACCTCTGCCTCCTGGATTCAAGCAATTCTCCTGCCTCAGCCTCCTTAGTAGCTGGGGTTACATGCACGAGCTGCCATGCCCAGCTAATTTTTGTATTTTTAATAGAGATGGGGTTTCACCACGTTGGCCAGGCTGGTCTCAAACTCCTGACCTCAAGTGATCGCCTGCCTCAGCCTCCCAAAGTGCTGGGATTTACAGGCGTGAGCCACTGCGCCCAGCTAGTCTTATTATGACCCTATGATAAAATGATAGTGCCATGGGCTCAACAAGACTAAAAAGTCCTAATTTTGTATTCTTTTTAAAAAGGGACTACTTTAGATGGGAATAGTACACCTATATAGAGAGAAGTCTACTAATGGACTCTGTACAAATACTAAAAAGCAAAATTTAATTTGGCAGACTTTAACTACAATGACAATCGTTTAAATATGAGTCCGTATTATCAGTATTTGTAAAATTAATATATTTTCCCAATTCTCGCCACTCATCGCCACAAAAAGATAAAGGCAAAAAAAAAAAAAACCCAAGATTTTAAAAAACATCCTTGACAAAAGTTACTAAACATAAGTGAACAGATGTTGAGGAAGACATTAAATGCATCTTCCAAGGAGAATCAATTTCAAGAAACATTCAAGGGGTGATTTAACTGAACTGAATCTAAGTTATAGCTAAGGAACAGAGTGCCCTCTACTGGAAGTCAAATAAAAAACAAGCACTTAAGTTACAAAAAATTTTAAAAATTTAACTTTTAAAAGGCCTAGCACTTTGCTTACACAAAACAAAGTGCAGTTTTTTTAATATCTAAAAAAAAAAAAACATGGAAAACTAATCAACATTTAAAATTCTTAAAAAATATGTCCAGGCCCCTTTAATGGGCATATACAAGGAAGAAATAAACCTAGAATTTTTAAATACAAACAATATTTTATTTATGTTTTGTTCTCTGTTTTGGTAAAAGGCAAATTTACTGTCAGTTTTGAAGCACACTTCCGGTGACCAGAGTTAAATATCTGTCCTACACTGGTATGAAGAAAGTCTATTAAGAGTAAGCTACTCTTATCTACCTGAGACAGGGGATCTATACAAGAAAACTTTTCAACTACAGCCTAGATTTCTATTTCTGCCTAAAACCACATCAGACCCTTCCCACAACCAGTAATACTGCTGAATACTAAAATACTATGACTGAAGATATACACATGAGGATACTTCCAACACAAGCAGTATCAAACCTTTCAGAGTTTCAGAGTAAAATGGCTATGGAAAATGGCATGTAGTGTTAGCTACTTTGGAGGCCAAGGCGGGAGGATCTCTTGAGCCCAAGAGTTCAAAGCCGCAGTGAGCTATGATCATGCCATTTGCACTCCAATCTGGGTAAGAGTGAGAACTTGTCTCTTGAAATATTAAAACTTTTTTTTTTTTGAGACGGAGTCTCGCTCTGTCACCCAGGCTGGAGTGCAGTGGCACCATCTCGGCTCACTGCAACCTCCGCCTCCTGGGTTCAAGCAATTCTTCTGCCTCAGCCTCCTGAGTAGCTGAGACTACAGGCATGTATCACCATGCCTAGCTAAGTTTTGTATTTTTGGTAGAGATGGCGTTTCACCATGCTGGCCAGGCTGGTCTCAAACTCCTGACCTCGTGATCTGCCCACCTTGGCCTCCCAAAGTGCTGGGATTACAGGCGTGAGCCACCGCGCCTGGCAAAACTTTTTAAGAAAGGTTAAAATGGTAAATTTTATGTTATGTTTATTATACCACCAGGAAAACAAAAGAGAGAGATTACAAGTAATTCCTGGTCTCAGTCCACAAGCTTATTTAATTCACCAGCTACATTAAATTCTGAGCTCTCTGAAGAAAAAGTCTATATTGCAATTCCGTAACAACAAAGGTTTGAAGTATGACACCCTCACCTACCACTAAATCCCTTACTACACACTTTTGTTAATTCTATTTCAACTCTTATTCCAACCTATCTATAAAAATTATTAACCAAGTAATTTGAAACAGTCTTACTCTTGTAAACTTACTCTACCTAGTGATATCAACAGTTTTAACTGTTGCATTAAGAGTAAATGAAGGTAGTATATGCGACTTCAAAAGCCTTCCATAATTCACAAATTACCAGTAAAAGGGGGAAAAGATTATACACTTAAAATACAGCTCACTTCAGCATGCTACCTCATGTGCAGTATCCCGATAAGCATGGCAGCCAAACTTGAACTGAGTCTTCCCATAATACAGCAACGACTTAACCGAGAAAGCAGATCAGCAGGCAGACTGGGTAGGAAATACACAAGCTGAACCAAACGCTGCTGAGAGTCTGCAGGGAGAACCACCACGGCACCTTCTTGTGGATCTAGTGAGGTGGACAGACATATTAACATCAACTATGAAAGACAAGCAAACCAGAGATTAATAAAGCAGATCAATTACTTCCAGTGAATTATAGGCTAACATTTTATGCTGAATTTTATGCTGAATATCAATTACATAAAAGCATAATTATATTAATATCATCAAACACTTATGTATGGCTTGTTAAGCTACTGCATAAAATAAAATATCAAACATAATTTATTTAAAGATTTAATATCCAAGTTTCTTGTTAGAAATAAAAACTTTCATGGGGGTAAAGAGGAAAAGAGATTGGGCACAAAGTAAACAAGCAATTTTGCTAAACAGTGACAATTACAACATCAACCTGACTTAAAGCAAAAGACTTGGTTTGCTGTGTGTATATATACACCTACATATATATGACCAATATTGAAAAATACATATTTAAAACTATAACCCACAAAAGGTGGAAAACACTCAAATGTTCATCACTAGACAAATGGATAAATACCAGTGACATATCCATACAACAAAATACTACTCAACAATAAAAAGGAATAAAGTATTGAAAATACTATGCTAAGTGAAACAAGCCAGACACAAAAGGCCCCATGTTATGTAATTCCATTTATAAGAAATATCCATGATAGGCAAATCCATATAGACAGAAAGTAGATGAGTGATTTCGAGGGGCTGGGGGAAGGAAGGAGTAAGGATGAACTTTCAATCAGTACAAGTTTCTTTCTGGGGTGATAAAAATGTTTTAGAATTAGACAGTGGTGATAGTTGCACAACCTTAGGAATATAGTTTTTAAAATTCATTGAACTGTATACTGTAAAATGGTGAATTTCACAGTATGTGAATATTTCGATAATGATATGTATACATACATCTCAGTTATGTTTTAATAATTCTGCTTAAAATATTAGTTAAGTCAGTTCCAGATGAATAAAGAATATATGAAAGTCATACAAGATATTCATTATAATTAAATAATAAAGATACGTCTTGCCATCAGAGCAAAAGAATTTTTAAGTATCAGATTAGTTTTGAATTTATGAATAGCAAGTGGTTTGAAAGACAATTTAAGAATGCAATAAGCATCAACAATCATTAATCTTCTGTATCCTAATACTGAAAATGAATTTGCTGTCTGATATTTTGTTTTGGCAATTTAACCATGGTATTACTAATTTAAACTAAGGGAAAGGCAAAACTACAGAGCTCCCCTTAAAAACTTATTTTGTGTATCAGGGTGGACCAATGACTACCTACGCCATTTAACAAATGAACTCTTACCATAAATTCGGAGGGCAGTAGCTTGTAAACTTTTTAGTAATTCTTTATTTGCTCGTGCTGCAGCGGTATGAATGATATCAATAAGCTGTGTAGAAAGCTCAGGATTTCGGGAGCCAAGATGAGCAAGTTGCAATGGTAAACCAGCCAGCCAACGGGACAGCACTTTACTACGATATCTTAGAAAGACCAAAGACATCTTTGTAATTCTCAAAGACAAGGGAAATAAATTTAAACAAAAAAAAAAAAAAATTTTTAAATATATCACAAAGTGACTAATTATGTACCAATAATACCAAATTTATTCATTTAAACATTTGAGAACCCACAAGATGCCAGCATCATTTTCCAAGGCTTTACGCACTAAATTAACGTTAACTGGGGCAGTATCTAAATTGTATTCTTATTTTCAAGGATAAAGACACTTAACTATTTATCCTAATTGGTGGTGTTATACTTTATTAACAAATGTACACATTCACCGTAAGTTGCTCCCATACAAAATGGCTTCAAACTTGCGCTATTTTTATTTCTTTAGAATACTTGCTGGAGTGCAAATGTCTTGAATAACAGTGAACATTTTTACTAGGTCCCCTGAAAGGTTGGTGATTCTATCATGGACTTTGCTGTCAAGACAGACCTGAACTTAAGTCTCAGCTCTGCTACACATTAGCTTCATAATACTCACCAATTTATTTATTTTCTGCTTCCTTCTGTAAAATGGAAGCTAACAGTATTCACCTCACAGTAGCAGTATGAAGATTACTGAGATTATGTAAAGTACTTGGCTTAAAGTAAATACCCAAATACGTTACAACAACTACCTACATATGTTGAGGTCTCCCAAATCTGTATCTTCCTCTCAAACATTTCTGACTATGCCAAATAAACCTCAAACTCACCTTACTGAAAAATTCCTTAGTCCACTCTTTTGTTGTCTCTCTCTGATAGCACCAAACTAAGCCAGAAACTTTCTCATCTTCTATTGCCCTCACTCTTATCCCATATGCCTCAATATGTCACTAATGGCTAGAGATTCAACCTCCATAATTTTTACGGGAAGGGAAGAGAAAGGGCTAAGATGGTTCCAACTGTCCCTTAGCTATAAGTGGACAGGTGGAAATGCATGCCTAAGCAGTCTTTTATCTGTTCAGATAGTTTACTGGCACTTTATGTATGCTTCTTTTAAAATTTTATATCATTTCCTAAATGCAAACAAGTAGGATTAAAAAGAATGAACTTCTCCAAAGATTTAATCTCTCTAAAATTATTTAAATATTTAAACAGACTACAGAAAAACTCAGCAAGAGAAAAAGGAAAAATAACAAGATTTTACCTGAATCTACAAGATCTCAGTTCTTCTGTCTGATAGATTTTACTGAAAAACTTCAATAACAAAGTCCGAACTGGAAGGATAAGGCCCCTCTGCTGATATAATGTATAAACTGCCTTAATAAGAGTCTCTGTGTCCTCTACAAACAGAAAGAAAACAACTTGCATATGAATCAAAAAATGTTTAACAGCCCCCAAATTCCTCTGAATGCACCGAAATACTTTGTTCCTATGGCAAAGCCAATTTTAGCCACAAACTGACAACTACCATTGAAGTCCTATAGCAATGGCCTAATAAAAAAGTCAAACCAATCAGTAGTTACAGTATAAATGTTCTTAACAACAAACCTAGGAATGACAAAAACCGGAATATCAGAAAGGCGATTTAGATGGGAACTACATAGGAAAATTTTGTTTTTAAATCAAAGAATAAGTAAGCCACTCTAAAACTGACTTAATATAACTTAACATCAAGCTAGAAGAAAGGTAAAGAGACAGGGAAGATTCATGCCATATGAGTCAAGGGAAAAAGTTCTCAAATTCTAGTCAAACTAGATAAGAAGAGGGTAGAGTCTTTGTCAATTTGCTTCAGAGTGGACCTACCCACTTACAGATACTCTGAGCCATAAACAATTTCAGTGTTCAAGTAGACAGTAGCTACCTTTTAGGGCTTGAATATAATTAGCCTGACTACATGGAATGTTTACAAGCCATCATTTCAAAGCTAGACCTTAAGATAGCACATGTAAGAGCTCCACTCTTAAATAAGGGCAAAGTAGCATCACCTACCTCTGTTTGGTTGTATTTGCATTAACCTCCAGGATACTCCCAGCAATCTGTTCAGTTGCTTACTATTTAGCCTAGAGCCATCTTCAAGGGTCTCTGTTACAAATTTCCTTATCATTTCTATCCAACTGCAATCCTTCTGCAAAGTTGACGCATTTGCCAGGGAGACCATGATATCAGACAGTGTTAAATTCAGTAAGAGATGATCTATGTTATTGGAGAGAACTGTGCAATGCTTGATGCTAGAAACAAAGACACACACATCTATAAAGCGTTACGTCTACCATGACTGCTTCATTAGAATACTTAAAATAATCTATCGGTGGAGTTTTAAAAAATTCCGTTCTAGGCCAAGAAGATAGGTGCATAGGCAAGACCTAGGCCACAGTTCTACAAATAAACCATTTCATTATGGAATCAGAGTTGTTAAGAAGGTACAGAGTGTATACAGCTCAATTCATTACTCAAGGTGCTATTCATACAAAATGTAAATGTCCTTTTAATATTGCCTGGGAACTTGAAAGATAAAACTTAAAAACCCTGACACACCTGATTTAAGGCAGATAATTACATTTGGATGTAAATCACAGCAGATCTTGGCTCTGCTTTTAACTAATCATCTGACTTAAAAGAATCACTAGTCTTTCCTGGCCATAACTTTCTCATACGTGAAATAAGGAGACATATCCAGGTAAGCACTGATTTGAAACAATTCTATAATTCACATATTAATATCGGTTTATTCACTCTAGCCAAACAAAACACAATTTCAAAAAACCTCAAATAAAATATTTTAATAAAAACAAAATTTGCAACTTGGAACATACTCATTTCAGACTGTGGTATATTCAACAGCAGAGCTTACTTCTTTCATGTTTAGAAAAACACAAAGCTGGCTGGACGTGGTGGCCCATGCCTGTAATCCCAGTGTTTTGGGAGGATGAACTGGGAAGACTGCTTGAGGCCAGGAGTTGGAGACTAGCCTGGAAAACACAGCAAGATCCCATCTCTACACAAAATAAAAGTAAAATTAAGGCTGGGCACGAGAGCTCATGCCTGTAATCCCAGCACTTTGGGAAGCCGAAGCGGGTGGATCACCTGAGGTGAGGAGTTCAAGACCACCCTGACCAACATGGTGAAACCCTTGTCTCCACTAAACACAAAAAAAATTAGCCGGGTGTGGTGGCACATGCCTGTAATCCCAGCTACTTGGGAGGCTGAGGCAGGAGAATCACTTGAACCCAGGAGGCGGAGGTTGCAGTGAGCCGAGATTGCGCCGTTGCGCTCCAGCCTGGGCAACAAGAGCGAAAACTCCATCTCAAAAAATAAATAAATAAAAATAAAATAAGCCAGGCATGCTGGCAAGTGCCTGTAGTCCTAGCTACTGAGAAGGCCGAGGCAGGAGCATCATTTAAGCCCAGGAGTTTGACGTTACAGTGAGCTATGATCACACAACTGCACTCCAACCTGGGCAACAAAGAGAGACCCTATCATTAAAAAACAGAAAAGAAAAATATAAATTTGACTGAAGCCATAAATATCTCAAGTCAATCAATTTTAAAGGAAAAGATTAATCCTAGTTAGTCTTGAGCAAGGGCACAGTAGTGAGGAACCACAAATACATGAGAAGGGAAATAAAAGAAATCTGGCATTATCAAGCATCAAATGTAAGACCAGGAAATACAAATGAGCCTGGAAAGGCAAAATGGAACCAGGTTACAAAGAGCCAGAGGCTAAAGACATCAAAACTAATTCTGTAAGCAAAGGAATAACATGGTTGCAAGCTTCTTTCAGAGACATGATTGTGTGGCTACAAAAGGGAAAATCAGAGTTACAAACTACAAACAAAGAAGCAGTTGTGGGGCTACTACAGCACTCCAAGCAAGAGATGGCAAGTCCAAGAACCAGGGTCAATGCTGATATGAACTGGGAGAAGGAGGGCATTTAGAAAGAACAAAAATTAGCCAGATTTGAAATATGCTTAAATATATACAAATACATGAGTCTGAAGATGGTGGAGACAGGAGGAGTAGTCATCAAGGGTTCTAACAGTAGTGACTAAATTGATAGAGATGATGAAGAAAAAGGAGCAGAGAGATCTAGAAATTAATTCTCCGTTGGATATGTTGAGCCTAAAGGATCATAATCAAATCCAGATGGAGATGGCCAACAGACAACTCAGTGTACAAGTCTGACACTGGAAGAAGTCTGAGCTATTTAATAGAAATTACCCACGTGACTGCTCCTAGCTTCAAAGAAAGCTGGGAAATCTGTTTTTTATTTTGTGTAGTGACACGTTCAGATGAAAATTAGGAATCCTATCATTAAGAAAAGAGACAGTAAACACTGGGATAGACTTGAAACATTTCTTCCCCACAGGCAGAGCTTTGGAAAATTTACCCTAACTTTATCTCAGGCAGCATAATCTATTACGATCCAGAAAGTCTCAATGGACATCTGCAAACTTGGGAGAGTTCCTTCTGCTCCTCCAATAACATATACAGAAATTTCAAAGACTAAATATACCAACAATTCTAGGAGGAAGGCAGATCCCGGAAGAAACTTCAATTTCCAGTAAAAGTAGTATAGGTAATTACAATATTGCTGAAAATAACTAGAAGTGCAAGATTCCAGCACTCAAGGTTTAGTCCTGAGGGCAACTGCCAGTGCAAAAGAAAAAAGCTGCAAAACTAAGGCAACCTTTTAGTGGCCCCACAAGAAAAGGAAGTCAAAAGTCAAAGCCTAGGGCCGACCAAGACATCCCTACCTTTTTTTTTTTTTGGAGACAGAGTGTTGCTCTGTCGCCCAGGCTGGAGTGCAGTGGCACGATCCTCCTACCTCAGCCTCCTGGGTAGCTGGGGTTACAGGAACATGCCACCACACCCCACTAATTTTGTATTTTTAGTAGAGATGGGGCCTTCACCATGTTGGCCAGGCTGGTCTCGAACTCCTGACCTCAAGTGATCCACCCGCCTTGGCCTCCAAAAAGGCTGAGATTACAGGTGGGAGACACTGTGCCGGGACAACATCCCTTCCTTGAGCTTGGCCCTTTAAGGTTTCTCTCCCAGGAAAGTAAAAGTAACTCTTAAGATAAACTTGAATCCTAGTTCTGCATCATTCTAGCAGTTTAAAGAATAATTCTTCCCAAACTAATCTATAGATAGATTCAACACAATCCAAATCAAAGTTCTAGCAAGCTATTTTGTAACTGTTGACAAACTGATTCTGAAGTCTACATGGTAACGTCCGTTGACAAACTGATTCTGAAGTCTACATGGTAACGTCAAAGACCCAGAATACCAAACATAAGACTAAAGCAAAACAAGCTGGGCATGGTGGCTCATGCCTGTAATCCCAACACTTTGGGAGGCCAAGGTGGGAGGAGCCCTTGAGCCCAGTTGAAAATCAGCCTAGGCAACATAAGGAGACCTCATTAAAAAAAAAAAAAAACTCTAAAGCAAAACAAAGCTGGAAGACTCACATGCCCTATTTTCAAGACTCACAATAAAGCTACAATAAGCAAGACAAGATGGTATTGATGAAACAACAAACATACATAAATTAATGGAACACAGTCCCAAAACAAACCCATGAAAATACAGTCAACTGAATTTTGACAAATGAGCAAAGGAAATTTAATGGATATAGTCTTTCCAATGAGTGGTGATGGAACAACTGGAAAGAATTCTAGAACTGAAAAATAAAAAATGAAAATTCCGTGGACTTATGTTTGACTACAACTGAATAAAACTAAATAATTAAAAACTGGAAGGGATAAAGAAAAGATTAAAAAATAGGTGGCGGATTCAATAAGTAGATGTAACATGCATTAAATTAGTCTTGAAAGGAAAGAAGAGAAATTGGCAAATGTTTAAAAGATAATACGTTTTTCAGAACTGATGAAGACATTTCATTCAAGATTCAAGATTGATCAGTTAAGTCCACTGAATCCCAAGCAGAATAAACAGAAAAGAAAACCACACCTGGATACATCACTGTGAAACTGCAGAAAATGAAAGACAAGAAGAAAAACTTTAGGGGAAAAAAAAAAAACACAGGTAACTCCTAAAGTATCAACAGTTAAGACTCAGAGCTGACTTCTTAACGTAACAATGGAAACCAGGAGACAGTAAAATATCGTCAGTGTGCTCAAAGAAAATAACTGCCAAACCTTTATTAACCCTGCTAAAACATTCTTCAAAAATGCGAGAGAAATACATTTTTATGGGGGGAGAAAAAATGAACTAAAGAAGACTCTAAATGATCCCAGGCAGGACTGAGATACATGAAAAACATGAAGAACAAAAAGGTAGTAAATATAATGACAGAATTCATAGTGGTAGACAGAAGTTTACTAAAGTATCAATTTTTGCTTGAAAGCTCAAATTTTATCAGTGGCAACAAATGCCATTTGTTTTCCTGGAACTAATAGCCTCACTTTGTTCTTTTTTTTTTTTTTTTTTCTGAGATGGAGTCTCACTTTGTCACCCAGGCTGGAGCACAGTGGCACTATCTTGGCTCACTGCAACCTCTGCCTCTGGGCTTCAAGTGATTCTGCCACCTCAGCCTCCCAAGTATCAGGGGTTACAGGCGTGCGCCATGACACTTGGCTTATTTTTGTATTTTTAATAAAGACAGGGTTTCACCATGTTGGCCAGGCCGGTCTCGAACCCTTGACCTCAGGTGATCTGCCCGCCTTTGCCTCCCAAAGTGCTGGGATTACAGGTGTGAGCCACTGCGCCTGGCCAGTCACTTTGTTTTTTGTGAAAGCATGTGCCAAATACCCAAATCTGAATAACCACTGTTTGTCAGTCATTTTCTTCAAGTTAAAATCTAGTCCATTCCAGGAAAATACAAGTAGGAAAATCCCACAGGGCTATTTCCTTGAGACAATCATAGTTCTTTGATATGCAGCAGAAATGCTTTATGTACACTTGCCATTCATCACACAGAATATTAAAAATATGCATTCTCAAGGGTCATGACTTTTTTATTCTTTTTGGAGGAGTCTCACTCTGCCACCCAGGCTGGAGCGCAGTGGTGTGACCTCGGCTCACGGCAATGTCCATCTCCAAGGATCAAGTGATTATCCTGCCTCCCGAGTAGCTGGGACTACAGGCGCCTGCCACCACACCTGGCTAATTTTTTGTATTTTTGGTAGAGACAGGGTTTCACCGTGTTAGCCAGGATGGTCTCAGTCTCCTAACCTCGTGGTCTGCCCGCCTCAGCCTCCCAAAGTGCTGGGATTACAGACGTGAGCCACCGCACCAGGACAAGGGTCATGACTTAATACAATCACTTATGTTTACTGCTTATTAAGGACCTTCTTAATGAAACTGGCTTGTTGTTTTTTTAAACTGTGAGTGTATGGTGGTGAAGAATACAATGTCTACTAATATAGTTTGGTGCCACTGTCTTAATTCATCCTAAGATACTAACAGTTTTACCCACCATTGCTTTTGTATCATTAGTGCAAATGTCAAAACAATGAAAAATGCAAAGAATGTCTTTTTTTGAGATAGATGGTGATGATCACACAATGTGAAAGTACTTAATGCCACTGAACTATACACTTAAAAAGTGGTTTAAATGGTTAATGTTATATATATTTTACCCCAATAAAAATAAATTATATCATTTTTAACTTTGTATTTCAACCTGAGATTTAAAAATGTAGATATCAGGTTAAAAATACAGGCTGGGCACGGTGGCTCGCCTGAGGTCAGGAGTTGGAAACCAGCCTGACCAAGAATGTGAAACCCTGTCTCTACTAGATACAAAAAATTAGCCGGGTGTGGTGGCACATGCCTATAATCCCTGCTACTTGGGAGGCTGAGGCAGAAGAATTGCTTGAACCCAGGAGGTAGAGGTTGCAGTGAGCCGGGATCGTGCCACTGCACTCCAGCCTGGAAGACAAGAATGAAACTGTCTCAAAAATAAATAAATAAATAAATAATAAAAATACATTAGGGGTACATGAATAAGAAGTGCGAGCAACACTGACCTAGATCAGGGGTCCCCAACCCCAGACCGCAGACTGGCACTGGTCCATGACCTGTTTGGAACCAGGCCACACAACAGGAGGGGAGCGGCAGGCGAATTAAGATTGTTCTGTATTTACAGCCGCTCCCCATTGCTCATATTACTGCCTGAGCTCTGCCTCCTGTCATATCAGTAGTGGCATTAGATTCTCATAGGAGCATGAACCCTATTGTGAACTGTGCATGCAAGGGATCTACACTGCATGCTCCTTATAAGAATCTAACGCCTGAAGATCTGTCACTGTCTCCCATTACCCCCAGATAGGACTGTCTAGTTGCAGGAAAACAAGCTCAGAGCTCCCACTGATTCTACATTATGGTGAATTATATAACTGTTTCATTACATATTACAATGTAATAATAATAGAAATAAAGCGCACAATAAATGTAATGCACTTGAATCATCCCAAAAACCAATCCTCCCACCTCAAGTCCGTGGAAACATTGTTTTCCATGAAGCCAGTCCCTCATTAGCAAAATGGTTGGGGACCATTGGTCTAGACCACTGTTGACTTCCCTAACTTTGATTTGTGCTGCTGTTCATAGGCTATTTGCTAAGCATTTAATGCACTTACTTAAAAGCAGCCCGCAGGCTCCCCAAAAATCAATCATGGGGGGGAATCTTTTGAAAAGCAGGTTATACTGGCAATCCATCTTTGCTAAAAATCCCTCCATTTCATCATCTCAATCTCCTCATAAAGTTAATTCCTTTTCTTTTTTTCTCATTTATATCTCAGCACACTGTCGCTTCCATCAGGGCAGCCTTGCTAAGATGGTCCTCCCCTCATGAAAGGTCAGGACCAACTCCTTACTACATACTCCTGTATTAACCTAAGCTCTTTCTTCACTTATTTATCACAGTCAGTCACTGATTAAAGAATCAAGTAAAATAAATGTCTTTTTCATTAGACCGTGCTCCACAAGAACTGGTACTCTACCTATTTCCTTTACCATGAAATGCTCAGCAACTAGTACAATAAGTGCCTTGCACATAAGAGTCCAATAAGTTTCTTTTTTTTTCTTTTTTTTTTTTTTTTTGAGATAGAGTCTCGCTCTGTGGCCCAGGCTGGAGTGCAGTGGCCGGATCTCAGCTCACTGCAAGCTCCGCCTCCCGGGTTTACGCCATTCTCCTGCCTCAGCCTCCCGAGTAGCTGGGACTACAGGCGCCCGCCATCTCGCCCGGCTAGTTTTTTGTTTTAGTAGAGATGGGGTTTCACCATGTTAGCCAGGATGGTCTCCATCTCCTGACCTCGTGATCCGCCCGTCTTGGCCTCCCAAAGTGCTGAGATTACAGGCTTGAGCCACCGCGCCCGGCCAAGAGTCCAATAAGTTTCTTGAATGACGATACACCGATACATTCTTCAGTAATTTATTTACACTGAAGCCTACTAAATCCTAAACATCTAAACCACAATTTAATCACATTTTGATGAAAATTACATATAGAATGCCTTATCTGAAAAAATACACGTACATGTAATTCTCCATCAATACTTCAAGAGTTCATGGATTTTTCTGAAGCTTACCTATGAATCCCAGAATAAAAACTCTGGTAAGAAAATTGTATGGGGGAAAAAATCTAACATCTTGCTTAATAAAGTGTGTCTTTGATTCTGTCCCCTCAACTCCAGAAGCTCCCTAGAACAGTTCTGACTGAACCAAAAGTCTTCAATGCCAAAAGGATCTGAAGATGAACTCCTGAGTCAAGAAACGGCTTCCCCATCAAGGCCAGGGAAGAGCAGAAATCAGACTGGACCCAGATCCATGCTCTCCATCCATTTCCTAATCCTGTAGCTTTCTTGTATGCTATCTCCTCTAGTTACAATAGTCTCATCCCTTGCATTTCTGCCTCCTGAAACCATATCCACGTTCATACCCAGTTGAAATACTATGCTTCAATTTAGCTTTGTCTGTTTATCCTAACAAGCAGTGATCTGTCTCTTCCTATGAATTCCTATAGCACTTAGTTGTATAGTTCTAATGATACTTTTATACTGCTTTGTGTTACATATGTAAATTTACATATGTAAATATTACTGAGCTACTGTTTCTCAGCTTCAAAGTCACCCTCTATACTCTCCTTTGTGACCCTAGGGTTGGGACTCTGGGACCCACATTTTTTCCTTTGTAGATGGTTTATTAGGCTCTGCCAATAAAGGGGTGATACAAAAGGCCTAGAAAGCTGTAAGAGGAAGACGGGACACTCTTCTGTTTACTTGCTAGCTTTGTTTTTGTTTCCTATTGCTGCCAGTGCCAATCAGCAGCTCTTCTTCAGGTCATTTGCAGTTCGTTATAGTAGCCATAGCAGACTCCAGTTTGTAGTTTTACTGACACAGAACCAGAATCATCATGCCTCTCAGAAACGTCAGCACCAGCCAGCTACACCCCCTTTTCAAAGTACTGGACCCCCGCCCTATGGGATTCTTGCTCTCAGCTCAAGATATCAGTACCTGCTGAGGAGCATCCCCTTCTGAGGTTAGAGTTTTGGCTCCCTTCCTCCAAGCTTCTTCCCTTCTTTGTTCTCCCAGTTCTACAGGTACTATCTGCTTCCCGCAGTTGGTACCTCCATAATACCTAACTTCCTTTGTATACGTAGTTAACAATTATTTATATTAAATTCTCTTGTTAAATAATCATTGCACTCCAGCATGGGTGACAGAGCGAGACTCTGTCTCAAAAAAAAAAAAAAATCATTGTCACAGTTTCTGTCTCATGACTGGACCCTGACACACACTCTTTTATGATTTAGAATATAACTACTTAAAGCTGGGTGCAATGGCTCATGCCTATAATCATAGCACTTTGGGAGGCTGAGGTGGGCAGATCACCTGAGGTCAGGAGTTCAAGACCAGCCTGGCCAATATGATGAAACCCTGTCTCTACTAAAAATACAAAAATTAACCAGGCATGGTGGTGCATACTTGTAATCCCAGCTACTTGGGAGGCTGAGGCAGCAGGATCACTTGAACCCGGGAGGCGGAGGTTGCAGTAAGCTGAGATGGTGCCACAGCCTGAGAAACAGAGTGAGACTCCATCTCACCAAAAAAAAAAAAAAAAAAAAAAAAAAAAAAAAAAAAAAAACCATATATATATACACACACACACATATACACATACACATATATATACACCTATGTACATATATACATATATAAGTATATATGTATACATATATACACACACACATATAGAACTGCTCAAGAGAGAAAGGTACAAGGCTTAAAAAATCTCTTCCTATTCACAATACTTTGTTCTACCTTGTTCACAATAAGCAACCAAAACAAATATTTAGTGAATGAAAGAAAAACTCTTATGCCTGAAATAGCTATATTGCTTCCAAGCATATCCTCTGAACCCTGCTCAAAACACCTCAATGATTCTCTAGCTAGTGTATTCCTTTTGATATATTTAAGAGCCTTTGACAGACTTTAAGATCCCTTGCAAGTATTTGCTCATTTACAGGAACCACAGTATTAGTGTTTTAGCTTGTACCTGCTTGTCAAATTTCATTACATAACTTGTTCTCACGTTTATCTGCTCTTACTTGAGGCAGACATTTTAAATAATTTCTAGGCTTACTTTTTTTTTTTTTTAACCTTCATCTTCTAATCAATTACCTTTTATTTCTGATTTTTCTCCAATTGCCCTCCTTCCTTAGAGATACTAACATTAGTTTCACTACCAGGTTCCTCACGTATAAATGAGAGCAGAACTAGATGATCATCAAGATGTTCTCCTGCTTAAGAGGTTCAATAATCACACAGTGCCTCACCCAAATAAACCATTCACCTTCGTCACTTCTATTAAATTCGTATTTATGTAAATTGATACATTCATCTAGCACAAAAAAAAATCATTTTACACACTTAAAAAAAAAAAAAAACTGTTAATCCCAAGGCTCAAACTGACTTGTCCAAAAATCAGCCTTACTACTACTTTTATTTTCACAAAATCTAGACATAAACACACAATAGTGTAGAAAGTTCCATATTAAGGCTAATTATCTCCCGATAATTTCAGGTTAAACAGCTTTTCAAGGTTATATAGTGACAAAGAATCATAATACCTTTTATTTGGCTCTTTCCTTTTGTGCTTGGTTATTTCTTTTAAGGCATATGGAAAACGACTCATAAAATGGTGTTTGAAATCAATAAGGTAGTTCTTTCGAAGCCATGATTCCTATTGAAATAGCAAAGATTAGAAAAATCTACAAGAAAAAACGTAAAATAACCAATAAAACTTGAAGAAAATTGACAACTTGTCAAATGTCCCATCATAATTCACTATCTACCAGTAATATAATATGTAAATAAATTTTAAAATCAGAATTAACTGTTAAAGCACCCAGTTTTCATCTGTAGATCCTTTTGGTGCTTAATAATTACTTCTACTTGCATTCTGTCTGCTGCTTAAGAGAGAAAAAGTGAAAGTATCTGAGATTAAAATTATGAATTTGGACCACTAGTGCAATGTTTATAAAATAAACAAGAAAGTCTTTCTCCATGATGTCCTATCTACACCATAACTCTATTCTCCAGCAATTCCATTAACAGTTTCACAAAGCAATGCATCTCCTTAAAATGCTTCAGTAGTATTGGTGAATTTATCATTTCCCTCCTATGGAAGCACTGTCTTTCTAATTCCAAATTAGAATATTCTTTATTTCCTCTTATCCAGGGTAACCAACCATTCCATTTTGTCAGAGACTGAGAAGTTTCCTAGATGTGGGACTTGAGGTGCTAAAAGAGTTGGTCACCCTACAGCTCAATTTGGTTTTTTTGTTTGTTTGTTTTTTGAGACAAAGTCTCGCTCTATCGCCCAGGCTGGAGTACAGTGGCACCATCTCAGGTTACGGCAACCTCTGCCTCCCAGATTCAAGCGATTCTCATGCCTTAATCTCCTGAGTAGCTGGGATTACAGGTGCCCACCACCACGCTCGGCTAATTTTTGTATTTTTAGTAGAGCTGGGGTTTCACCATGTTGACCCGGCTGGTCTTGAATTGCTGATCTCAAGTGATCCGCCTACCTTGGCCTCCCAAAGTGCTGAGATTACAGGCGTGAGCCACTGCGCCTGGCCTTACAGCTCAATTATTGTTCCTCCTTAGTATCTTTACTGGGTTCTCTTCTTCCTGACTTCTAAATGTTTGGATTTGCTCAGTAATAATACTTGAATCATTTCTGTCTGAGCTCCAGATTTTATATACAAATATATACTTGACATTTCCTCTTCAACTTCTGACAAGTATCTTAAAACTGAACATGAATAAAACCAAATTCTCCCTGCCAAATGACCTTCTTTCTCATTTAGGCGATGTAACACTGGCCTCATCCTTGACTCCTCTTTCCTTCATTATACATACCAGCAGTCTCGCTGGCTTTACCTGGATCCAGCTACTTATCATTTCAAACACTAGACACCAGGTCACCATCATCTTTTATTTGGATTACTGCAATAGCCTCCTAACCAGTCTCCCTGTTTCTCCTCTTATCCTCCAAAAGTCAATTTCCCCACACAACAGGCAGGGTGATCTTTTAAAACATAAATCGTGTTTCAAAATAATACAGGAAGGGGGAAAGGAAATGAATATATACACATGTAGGACAGGACTGGTCATCCAAGAGATGATGGTTGCTAGAGTTAGACTGTGAGCAATATTAAATTTAAATTAAATTTAAATTAAAATATTAAAGTTAAATAAATATAACGCAGATCATGCCACTCCTCTGCTCAGAACCCTCCAGTGGTCTTTTCGCCACACTCAGGTTAAAATCCAGACTCCTTACCAGTGACTACAGAGTCCCACGTGATCTGGCCACTATCACTCTTCTTCGCCCCCATCTTCTACCATTCTCCCAGTACCTCATTTGCACAGGCCTTCCTGCCATTCTTCAAATATGCGAAGTCTATTCTCACCTCAGAGCCTTTGTACTTGCTGTTTCCTATGCCTGAATGTTCTTCCCACAGATGTTGACAAGACTTGCTCCTTCACTTCAATGACATTCAAGTATTTTATTCTCAGAGAGCATTTGACAACCTACCTAAAATAGCTCCCCCTCACTGTTCCTGCCCATGCTCTCTTTATACCCCATTTTACTTTCATCTTTCTTCCTAGTACTGACATTATATATTTGTTTACTGTCTACAGACCCCACCAGAAGGTACACACCATGAGGGCAAGCACCTTATCAACCACGTTTATCTCTGTAGCCCCAGAGTCTAGAATAGTACTATTCAAAAGACCTTTCTGTAATGATCAAACTGTTCTATATCTGCACTGTCCAATATAGTAACCACTACCCACATGTAGCTGTTGAGCACTTGAAATGTGGCTAGCATTACTGAGGAATTGAATTTTAAATTTTAATTAAGTAGCCATTATTTATTGATAACCAATAAAGCTTTGAATAAATGCCTTAAAAAGCATGACTGCATTAGTGTTTGGTTACAAACTCTAACCCTCATAGGAAAAGGATAAAAGGAATGAGACACACACACACTGAGAAAAAGTAGCAAGCAAGCCAAGCATTAAATGCAAAGCTAAGACAATTTTTATAACATAATACTGAACCTGACACTACTAATACAGTACACTAAAAACCACAGTAAATCAAAAAGTTAATGTTAAACTGTACTCTCATTTTAAAAACTAGCTATATCGGCCGGGCACGGTGGCTTGTGCCTGTAATCCCAGCACTTTGTGAGGCCAAGACGGGCGGATCACAAGGTCAGGAGATCGAGACCATCCTGGCTAACATGGTGAAACCCCGTCTCTACTAAAAATACAAAAAAAATTAGCCGGGCGTGGTGGCGGGCACCCAGCTACTTGGGAGGCTGAGGCAGGAGAAAGGCGTGAACTCGGGAAGCGGAGCTTGCAGTGAGCTAAGATCGCGCCACTACACTCCAGCCTGGGTGATTGAGCGAGACTCCCTCTGCAAAAAACATAAAGTAAATAAATAAAATCTAGCTATATCAAGGATATAACTAGCTAACTATTAAGGATACACACAGTATTTCAACATGTGCATAAAATGTCAGAAATTGCTGTGTCTAGATGGGGGTAGGCAAGTGCTTATTGTATTCCTTCTGAAGGTTTGACTTTTTTAAAAATAAAAAAGATAGGTAAGGGAATGCAAAAAAAAAAAAAAAAAAAAAGAAGAAGAAGAAGAAAAAGAAAAAAAGAAAAATAGTGCCAAGGTAATCAAATGTAAAAGAACAATCTCTTCAACAAATAGTGCTGGAATAAATGGCTGTTTATATGAACAGGAAAAAAAAAAAACAAAGGATACCACAGTATTTCAGAAATAAACAACTTCGGTTGATTATTACAGAATCTGACCATTCAACCATTGCATGTAAGACTTAATGTACCTTGAGACTTCTTTTCAAAGCAAGGATCAAAGCTTCAAATTACTAAAAAGTTTTTTTAAAAAAACTACTTGAATACAAGTGAAATTTCTCAACTGTGTTGCAAATACTAGCAAACTAAATGCATCAAGCTGCAGCGCCAACATGCAAAAGCAAACAGTCAATAGTCCTAAGACTATATCTAATCCAGACACCAATTTACCAACAGAAAAATCTATACAGTTTCTGAGAGAAGAGGGTTACAATTCAGCTTATGGTGTGTGATTTGAGTTTAATGCCAAGGAATGCTATTTGGTTCCTTCTAAAGATTAGGCTCTGGCCAGACAAAGAGGCTCATGCCTGTAATCTCAACACTTTGGGAAGCCAAGGTGCAAGGATCATTTAAGGCCAGAAGTTTAAGACCAGAATGTGCATTTTAATGTCATTTTGTACAGAATGCTACTCACAACCTATCATTTTGTATAGACTGTACCAACAATCTACATTTTTATATTCTGTCTCTAAGATAATGGTTCTTTAAAAAAAAAAAAAAAAGATAATGGTTCTTACCAAGTTATTACAAATCTACCAAGGTGAATTAGAGAATTCTACCAGTGGATGTTTTTAAATATTATTTCTATCTGAATTTATTTATTTCAGCTTTATACAGTATCTCAATTTAGTATTCTGATCTTCAACAGTCTATGTAGTCTTTTAAACTTACCATTCTATATTAATAAGCTAATAAGCCTAGCCATGTTATAATAGCACAAAATAGTTTTAAAGCATACTATTTTAAATATCCATAAAATTAAAGCAGTATTTAGAACCTTTGTTAGTGTTATCCAGATGATAAGATGACCCAAAACTAGCATAATTAATAAATTTTCAGATTTTGTATTTTGGTCCTACTCGTCTGTCTAAATACAAATGCTACTAACAAAGCAGTAACAAAAGTTTACTAGTGCTTATATGTAACCAAACACCAGAGCAGCTTGGAATTTTTACTTCTTGGCTCTCTAAAAATGAAAAAACTAGGCCGGGCACGGTGGCTCACACCTGTAATCCCAACACTTTGGAAGGCCGAGGCGGGCAGATCACCTAAGGTCAGGAGTTTGAAACCAGCCTGCCCAACATGGTGAAACCCCATCTCTACTAAAAATACAAAAAATTAGCCAGGCATGGTGGTGGGCGCCGGTAATCCTAGCAACTCAGGAGGCTGAGGCAGAAGAATTGCTTGAACCCAGGGGGTGGAGGTCTCAGTGAGCCAAGATCGCGCCACTGTACTCCGGCCTGGGCAACAAGAGTAAAACTCGGTCTCAAAAATAAAAAAAAAAGAAAAAACTAGCACTCAAAGTCCATGTTGAATATTACTTTTTCTTTTTTATAGGACATCTTAAGGACTTTAGCATTACTTTCATTTTCTATCTGAACCTTTCAGATGATCATAGATCAAGACTGTAATATATACTTTAAGGAGCTATATACATTCTTACTGTCTCTAGCCAACATCACAAATTAACTGCCATATGAGAAATAAGCTTTGCTTTCTCAAAATCATACATTATAGACCTATGATTAATTTTTTGTCAATGTATGCAATGAATCATAAAATACAAAGTCTCAAAACTGTAATCAGTAAAATGCCATCTTATTTGAAAACGCAATTCACGAAACATCCCTACACATGATGGGCTAACAGCAGTAGAATACGCTCTTAAAATACACACCATACTACAACTCTATAATGCTTTTCAAGACTGTCAAATACTACTTAATTTATCACATCTTACGCAGCATAGTGACTCATTCTAAACTTCAACTTGAAATAAAAAGAACAAAAACAAGAAAACTACCTTCTCAGTTTTATATAAACTTCAAGGATTCACACCTGCCTTATCAAAAGTCCCTACAGCAATTCTTCTGAAAACCAGATGCTTCTAGCTTTGAAGTCTTGCTTCTGCAGCTACCCTTTTTAAGTGTATTATCATATTAATTTAGCCACTTAATCTCGTGGCTTGTTCCTCCTTGGTTGCACAGAAAAACTGTAGCATACACTATGCACTACATTCACTATAGCACAACACTTAAAACAATTCAAGTGTTTATGAGCTCTTCAGTTTTGTCCATTTCTACTAAACCTGGCAATGTGGAATAAATTGAGACCACTTAATAAGCAACTTTTTAAATCATGTAAGAGATCTTCAGAAACTAGAATGTTCCTACACAATCAATCTGCCATAAACAAAACACTGTAACACTACTGTGAATTATAGCCAATAAAAACTAACGGAATCAAGCATGAGTTATGCATTTCACTTAAAAATATACATATATTCACAGACAATAATTTCAGAAAACTAATTTGTAGTTTTGTGCAAAACAAACAAGTTTACAGTTAAACCCAAGATACTTTTTAGAAAAATACATAACCAATTAGTAGTAATGAGCTGATTTCGAATCTTCCCATTTATGATAAAAGGCAACACTAAGAAAATACAGAATCATTAGTTCTCACCAATTTATGGGTTTCATCCTGTTGTTTAGAGAGTTTCCACAGAAGGGAAATAATATTAAGAACTTGCTGCATAACCTGTAGAGGTTCTCGTTCTATACCATTTCCAACAGGAGTAGCTAGTTGTGGAGGTACAGCTTCAACCCAGCACTCAATTAGCAAAGGAATTATTATCTCAATAAATCCTTTCAGGTTTTCAGTAGATGACAGGCCTTCATCCACACCACTCAGTCCTCCAACCAGATACCTAATAAGGGTAAGAAAGAAAAAAATTAAGTGATTAAAAAATGTTTATTATCCATTGCTAATTTAAATCTTAAATATAAAGTACTAGTAAAATGAAGCACCATGAATTGAAAATTACATCAATCAAAACGAGTAAGAAAAATGAAATTCTAAGATGACAAAGCCAATAGATATTATCAAGTTTTATTTCTCAAAGGCTTTGCTATAAATTAATAAATTAACATACAAATGACTCTTCCCATGAGTAAATAAAATCAAATCATGAGTAACTATATGAAAACTATGAAAGACAACTGCATGTCTTCCCACCAATAGGCATCAATGGTCAGCAGTTATAATTCAATACAGGAAAACTGTGTGGACATAACTGAAATCCTTCTTACCGTAGCCTGAACTGTGAACTGACATTTGGCTGTGAACCCCCATTTTCATAAACCTGGATGTGTTGCTGGTCGTTGGCATGTTCCTTCCAGTTGATAAAAATGGAGTTGCTAGTGGCATGGGGATTTTCTTTCTGTTCCTGAAGTCCTTCACTTTCTCTCAACCTACTGGATCCATCTGCCAAGGCCTGAAGGAATTTACTGAGTCTCACTAAGACTTTCAGCCTCCACTGCTGAGAAGTGAGTCTCCGATTAGGATTTACAGAAAGTATCCAGGACTGGGATCTGTCTCTATTTATCAGTCCTTTGGACAGCTGCTGATGAGAAATAAGTTCTACAAAATTCTTAAGCAATATGCTGCTACGGCCAGTAATTAGAGCTGGGTACTGTTCCAGCAGAATGTCCAAAACTTTTAAAGAGTCCTCCTGAATTCCTTCAGTAATGTGAGTCATGGCACTAGAGAGATGGGCACTTACCAAAGGAAAAAATGGAGAAATTTGTTCAGCTCGTATTTTGGGGGCCAGGAATTGAAGAAGTTGAACTGCTGCTAATCGTACATTAGCATCTTTATCTGTAAACACAGCAGTCACTTCACTTAATATGTTTGAAAGGTGTGCATCAATTATAAATGGGTATTGAGACAAAAGGTCTTTAAGTCCAAGAAGAGCACTTTGTTTAACCCCAGCATTGTAGTGATGCATCTGTGACAGCAAATCCTATAAATAAAAATACAAATTTTAGATGTATACTTATATACATATATCAATTTCAAATAAACATGCTAACTAACACTACACTAGTAAACTGACACTCCGTGGGGAAACTACTTCAATAAGTACTCTTTAAATGTTATTTAGCTTTTGTTAGGATCAGAAACAGAAAAATACTTTCAGCTTAATAAAAACACTGCATAATTTTCAGGTGGAATTTTCTCACTTTACATTAACCTACACGCAGGCTTAGACACTCTTATGATATAAAGTGACAGCAATCACACCATCATTTACTGAAAATATACTATGTACCAAACATCATGAAAGGCGTATTTATATACTCTCAATTTGACAGGCCTATTTATTCTGCCTATTTCAAATGGGCTTTTGCAGGGTGTTTGTGTTTTATTCAGAGTATACTACTGGACAATTTTATTTGTGGAATAATTTATGTAAACTTTGAAAAAATAACTTTAAATAACTCTTTAGTATTATTTAACCTTCAGAGCTTAAAAAACAAAAATAGAAAAATGTATATCCTCCCAAAGACCTATACACAAATATTCATAACAGCATTATTCATAAGAGCCAAAAACCAGAAACAAACTAAATGTTCATCAACTGCTGAGTGATCAACAAAACGTAACCTAATCATGCAATGAAATACAATTCAACAATACAAAGGAATGCACCACTGTTCTGATATATGCTACAAGCTACATACAACCTGGAGGAACCTCCAAAACACTGTGCTAAGTAAAAGGCCAGTAACAAAAGACCATATATTGTATGATTTCATACACTTTCCAGAATAAGCAAATCTATAGATATCAGAAGTAGATTAGTGATTGCCAAGGGCTGGAAGAAATGAGAAGTGATTCCCAATGGGTACAGATTTTCTTCTTGGAGTGATAAAAATGTTCTAAAATTAGATTAAGGTGACCGTAGCATAACTCTGTAAATACACTAAAAGCAATGAATTGTATACTTTAAATGGGTGATTTTAATTATGTGTAAATTATGTCTCCATAAAGCTGTTAAATTCTTAAGCAACACTTGCTCAAACTTAATTGACTTCAAGTATTTACTATGAACCTATAATAAGGTATGTGCTGTATGCGTTCAAAAATGAATGACAGGATTGTATCTTAGCTAAAAAACAGCTAGAAAACTGTTCAAAAATCTGACACATCAAAAACATGTAAGAATTATTTCCAGATATAGCCAGGCACCATGGCTCACACCTACAATCCCAGCACCTCAGGAGGCCTTGGTTGGAGGATTGCTTACATCCAAGAGTTTGAGACCAGCCTGGGAAACATATTGCAACCTTGTATCTACAAAAAACTAAATCAGCCAGGCATGGTGAGCTCGCTTGTAGCCCCAGCTACTTGGCAGGTTGAAGTAGGAGGATCACTCGAGCTCAGGAGGTCATGGCTGCAGCGAGCCATGATAGCACACCATTGTGCTCAACCTGGTGTAAGAGTGAGAACTGTCTCAAAAAAAAAAAATTTTAAATTAAATCATCAAATAAGTATACCAGGGAGAAACAACTGTGCATTTAGTTTAGCAAACCTTTCTGGAGGACGGGGAAAGACACAAGTATATGAAGAGAGATCAGATTTGGGTAAAAGAGAAACTCCAAACATCAATAAACCCTATGACCCTAGGCAAACTATTTAAGACTTCAGACAAATTTTCACAAAAATATAACATTCTACATGATTCCAAAGAAAATCTTATTTCATCAAAACAAGATTTACGATTTACCTTTATGTTAAGTTTTCTATTGTTTGTTGGAAGTGTTCCATCTTCTTTGAGTTGCTCAGGCAGATGTATAGTCTTTGTTTTAAAGTTTGTAGGAGTAGCATTTTGTAACTTGGGCTTCTTTTTACCAACTTTCAATTTTACTTTTTGAAAATCATCTTGGCGTTTTCTTTTTTTGGTCATTCTCGACTACTATAATAAAAAGAATTAATTAAAAGCATTGGATAGAGACAAGAATAAATGATAAAAGAAGAAAAAAGGTGCTTTCCAACACATATTACTGTAACATTTATTTCAATCATAAGAATCAGTGATTATGCTGAAAGATCAAAATATTAAAAAATGCTGTTAAGAACTATTAAAAACTCAGTTTAGTGATAAAATACTGTAACAAGGCAACAGTCTTGCCACGGTTTTGCAAAGTTTTTTGGGTCACGGAACCTTCTGTCAAGCTATGTGCTAAACGGAAACCTTCTGAAATTTGTTTTTTTCTTTTCCTTTGTTTGAATGTAGAAGAGCAGCACAAACTTGTTAGAGACATAACTTGTATCTGCTGGTGAGCTCCTGGTCTTCGTAAACGCCTCGGAGGAACTTCTCTAGCAATAGCAAGCAAAGTTGGAAAATCTATGTTATTATTTAATGCAGCCTGTAACAGTTAGAAAAAGATTTACGAACCTAAGCTGAGCATCTGAAAAATGGGTAATATTCAAATACACAGCAAGGAGAATAATGGGCCTTTCAAGAGCAAGGAGAACAAGGTAAAGATCAGGCGTAGGGGATAAACTTAGTATAGCAAAAGTGAATAAAATTCAGACTAAATAGAAAACAGTATTCCCCCTTGGTCCCCAAAAAGGACAAAAAGCAGCATAGAAAAAATATATAATGTAATAGGGGGACAAGGAACAAAGACCAGCTAAGCCACTATTTTAATAAATAACTCAGGCATAACACCATGACATCTTGTACTTCCTCCCCCTCTATACCACATTCCAAACCTTGTACTTACACATGAAATCTCTGATCTGTGTCTCTTACCTATTTCCAGGCCACTATTTTCAAGAAGTCCTTTATTTTTACCATTCAATACCTTCCTCACTGGTACTCTTGGCTACTATCTAGTGTCTACTCTCTAGTCCACCGGACCTTTACCAGAGAGCTCTCTCTAAACACAGATCTCATGACCAAGACTCAAGAGCTCTCAGTTGTTCTACTCCTCATACACAGTAAAACCTCCTTAGCAGAACATAGGAGGTCCTTCCTAACGTGGCCCCATCCATCCTCTCCAGCTTTATCTTCCCACAAGCTAACCTCTATCTAAAACAATAGCCTCTTCTACCTGGAACCAGCTAAATTCTTCTTGAAGCCTTTTCCACAACCGAGAACAATGAACTCTGCGTTCCACTGTACACGACTTGAATAGGGTAAGTACCTCTGGAATATATAAAACTTCCCCTAATCGCCTGGTTTATCATAATTATCCTGTGCCTGGCCATAAAAAGCGGGACAGTGCTACACACGACGGTATGAAAAAAATGGGTAAAATGGAAATTTCCATTATTACAATATTAATAAAATGGCCAGTGCAATACTGAGCAGCTCAAGTTCAAGGAATTCAGAAGCTAATCAGCTATGACAATATATCCAAATTCACTTAATTACAGGGTTATATTAGATCGCCATGAGGTAGGATTTCCCACAGGTGAAGAACCAATTCTACAACCAAATTGATTAGGTTCTTATCCAGACTCCGACGCTTTCTAGCTGTACACTGTCCCAATTTCTATCTACAAAATAGGGATAATCATACACAACTGTAAAACACTCAGAACTGTGCCTGGTACACGGTTAAATATGTATGCTCTAAGCATAAACATGTGCGTGTCCCTCAAGTCTCAGGATCAGTACGTACCAAGCCCGGTACTAGATGCAGTGTGTACCTCAGTATACAACCTGCATAGAACCATGCAAGGTAGGTGGTACTAAACACGTTTTAGCAAGGCACCTCAGAAAAGTTTGGAAGTCACGCCTTTATCAAGAAGTTGAAAACGGATTCATTCACAGAACTGAGCTCTGCAAAACCACCTTGAACATACCAGAATTAACCTGAAGACTGGAAGTCTTCGTGGCAAAACCGTTTGGCTTATTTCATTCGTCCCTATTCCCAAATTTTCATCTCACCCACACCCCTAGTTACCTTAGTCTGAAAGAAAAAGCTGGGGGTGGGTGGGTGGGTATAAGGCCTAAAAAGAAGGCCATGATACTCACCTGGCCTCTTTTAATATAAAAATGGTTTTCATTAATTAAGCAAGGACACTTTGTGAGCTTTTCCTACAATTTTATTACTAGCTGGTACCAGAGACTAAAGTAAATAATACAGGACATTCAGAAAAATTAACTCCCTTCCTCCCCCAGTCCTGTGGGTTCTATTTAGCCATTAACAACCTGATGGATCTTCGACAGTCTACTGTCAACTTTATGCCACATTATCTATCGCTTTGTATTAGTCACGTTAATGCTTTCTCTACTAGGAAAATTAAGAGGGCTGATTGACCTTCCTTGACTTCTCAAACCTAGTAGTATTATTATGGGACACAAAGCATTTTTATGCGAAGAATTCTCAAAGTTCTACTAGTAATTGACTTTAACTTATAACAAAGATTTTCATAATACAGCAAATCAAAAAGTCCCACTAAGCCACTTTTACAGTAGCCGATTTTTAGCAAAAGGTAGGAATGCCAGGAACTCACATCACTAGTCCTTAAGTTTGCGATCCCCGATAGTTTCAAAGCTGAATGTCACACATTACTACTTTAGGTCTTTTCTCCTAATTCCAACAAAAGGCAGATCCTAGAGTTTTTAGGATTTCAATCGAACTAAATTCCAACTATTAATAGTTTGCCTGCCACCTTCTTACCTTTCCTCATTTCCAACTTCTTTTCCAAAAAAACAAAAAAAAAAAAACAAAAAAACCAGAGAGAAGGATCGTACTGCACTCGGCCTTTGATAATTTCCTCCCCAATCTCTTAAACTCAGGAGTTCCTCCAAACTCCACTGAGGGGCCAACCAGAGGCGATAGATTTCCCAAAAAGCAAATGGTCCGGGCAGGGGCGACCCCAGAAAACTGGTGGTCCCCTTCCACTCGCTTAACTCTCCCGCCTGGGCGACCAGAGGGTGGAACAGGGGACGCCAGCTCATCCCCACTCCGTACTCGGTCCTGCATCCATCCCAGAGGTGAACACACCGTGGGTTTTAGGAAACCATCGTTCCTTCTACTCCAAGGGACGCTGGCCAGGACCAGAGTCGGGGAAGTGGGGCCCGATTCACACACCCCGGCCTAAAACTCTCTCGGACCCGAAACCGGGCGAACCCGCCCAGTCATCTGAAGCTCCACAAACGCCGAGGGGGTCCCGCCCCCGCAGTGCCGGCCGCACACCCAGGCCCAGCTCCAAGGGACGCTGCGGCCCAGACCCGGTGGGCGCACATCGTCCACGGCCGACCCTGCCCGCTTGGGCCGCGGATCGGGGGGCGACGGCCCCACCACGCTCAGTCCCGCGCCCCGGGAGGACCCGGCCCGACGGACGACTGCCGCTCACCTGAGGACCCGGCCGCGGCCGGGGCGCGGAGCCCGAGGGGAAAGCGAGCGAGCAGAAGCCCACGGGGCGACAGCGTGTACCGCCGGCCTCAGACTCTAGCTCCCGGAGCGTGTTTTCAAATAGCCTCGTCCTCACGCGGCCGCGTCTCCTTCCGCCGCCCGGAAATCAGGGCCCCTCCCCCTCCCCCTTGTGCTCACGTGATCACAGCCCGCAGCCGCGCGCAGCCAGGGAGGCGGGAGCGGGAGCAGTGGGCCCCGCCCACAGAGGAGGGGACCGCGCCGGAAGCCCCCTGCTTAGTGGGAACTGGAGGGAGGACAGCGCAAGGTCCCGGGACAAAGGGTGGCGCATAAGTCCAGCTCATAACTTCATGGGCAAGCAACTTAGGGGACGTGGGCCTGGTTATAGCTGAGCATGCCTTTTATCTTCCCCCCAGACCACAGTTCTTCAGACCTGGAGCCACTTTCAGAGAAGAGTATAAATTGAACTGAATTGAAAAAGGGAAAAGTTTTGGACTGCTGAAGATGGAATTCTTGGGGACATTAAACTGGGCTGAGATGGAACAGATAAGATTTCCTTAATTAGAGCAAGACACACCTAGTATCTAGAGCCTGAAAGTCTTGGTCAAGGATTCTCCCTAACATTTCAGTTTCTGAGCACTAACATTCCTGCTACTAAAATGAAGTGCGAGATTAATTTCTGAAGTAAAGAAATAAACTAAAATTTCTAGAAAAGAGATAAGAAGAATGAGCCTTTGAAAAACAGCCTTCACAAAGACTGGCATGATGGCATGGAAGAAAGAGCCCCAGGTAAGGACTTCAGACCTTGATTCAAATTTGTCTCTGCACCTCACCAGATATAAGAATTAGTAAAGCTGGCGAAGATAGTGACCCTCATTATATTGGGTAGGAATTCAAAGGAATGATGGGAGACCCAAGCACTGGAACTAAAACCATGCTTGTTCCATAATTGGAGATAAAGAGGCAGCGCGAGAGACCTTGCCCTCCCTTTGCCGGCAATATGGCCACATCACCACGATCTGCCTAGAATCCACCATAACCATAAATATTTGGGAGTCATTGGCATTATGTGGCATTATATTCTATTTAAAGCTATGAGAATAGATCAGAAGAAGAAAGATTTATTGCCAACCAGACATGTCCCCGGAACTCCAAACTTATATCTAACAGTTTATTCAATGTTTCCTTCAGATATCCAATATACATCTCAAGGTCAACTTGTCCAAAACAGAACTATTGATGATATTCCCCTTGAAATCTACTCTTCATACAGCTTATTCATCTCAAATAGTAAGACCATCCTTGAAGTTACTCAAGCTGAAACCTTTGGGTTTTTGGTTTGGCCTCTTTCTTTCACACCTCACATCTAATCCATCTGGAGATTGACTCTACCTTTAAAGACATCCTAACTTTTACCAGTTAACACACCTCCCCTGCTACCATTCTGGTCCAAGCCACTTCTTGATCACTCCAAAAAGCTTCCAAACACATCTCCCTGTTTCCCTCATTGTCCCTCTTCCCCCTACAGTCTGGTATCAGCAGAGCAGCTGTGTGATTATTTTAAGATCTAGGTTAGATCAGATCACTCTTCTGCTCAAAACCCTTTAATGGCTCCCTCTTTCATTTAGAGTAAAAGCCAGAGTCCTTTCTAGGGCCTTCTCTTAGGCTGCTCTTGCATGACTGTAAAGAAAAACCTGAGACTGAGTAATTTATAAAGAAAAGAGGTTTAATTGGCTCGTGGTTCTGCTGGCTTTACAGGAAGCATTATGTTGGCATCTGCCAGCTTTTGGTGAAGTCTCAGGTAGCTTTCAATGATAGCAGAAGGTGAAGGGGGAACAGGCATGTCACATGTTGAAAGCAGGAGCAAGATAGAGAGAAAGAGAGAAAGAGAGAAAGAGAGAGGTGCCACACACTTTTAAACAGCCAGGTCTCATGAGAACTATCACTAAAAAAAGCACCAAGCCATGAGGGATCCACTCTCATGACCCAAGCATGTCCCACCAGGCCCCACCTCCAGCATTGGGGATTACAACTCAACATGAGATTTGAGCAGGGACAAATATCCAAACCATATCAGTTCTCAAGCTCTTCCATGTTCTGACAGAGCCCCTTACTCTCTAAGCACTACACCTTCCACTCCCCTTTTTTACTCTGCTCCAGTCACACTTGCATCTTTACCTTCCTCAAACACCAGTGACACACTCCTGGCTTTGGACCTTTCCTTTAGTTTTTCTGTCTGCCTGAAACACTCTTCCCCAGTAAGTCCATGTGGCTAACTCTCTCTCCTGCCCTGAGTCCACTCAAATATCTTCTCAGGGAAGCCTACCCTGACCACCTCATTTAAAATCACAAATGACCTTCCCAGGACTTGGAATTCCTTTAGAACATATCACCTTCTAATATACCATGTGATTTACTTACTTATCATAACCATTATTTGATTCTGTCTTTCATCTACCACTAATATGTAAGTTTTACATGGGTCATTTGTTTTATTCCCTGGTATATTCCAAGTAGCTAGAGCAGTGTCTGGCACCTAGTAGGCCCTCAATAAATATTTGTTGAATAAATGTGTAGGAAGCACCTGCTACATAGTGGTGCTGAGCAAACACTAGCTCTTAATGTTTTCCTACTTTGCTGCAGGACAGAGTTTATAGACTCAGCCCATTAAGTGGGCCTGGTGGCTATGTAACTGACAGAAGTACTCTTGGCTTGACTGAAGGAAGCAGCAGATCTTCAGCAACAGTCAACTGTTGTCATGAGGAAATGCAAATCTTCTCATTTTTCAAGCAAAACCAGAAATCCAGTGTTTAAGTCCATTCTCTGCTGCTATAACAGAATACCACAGACTGGGTAATTTACAATGAATAGAAGTTTATTTGGCTAATGCTTCTGCAGCTGGGAAGTCCAAAAGTGCGGCATCAGCATCTGGTGAGGGTCATCCATACCATGAGAGAAGGGCAGAAGGCAGAAGTGAGCTCTAGAGACAGAAAGGACAAATCAGGCTGAATTCATCCTGTTTGTCAGGAGCGCACACCCAGGATAACTAACCCACTCCCACAATAACAATTGATCTATTCATGAGGGCAGAGCCCTCATAATCTAATCACCTCTTAAAGGTCCTGCTTCTCAATACTGTTAAAATGGCAATTAAATTTCAAAATGAGTTTTGGAGGGGACATTCAAACCATAGCATCCAGAAATGTTTATAAGAAATCTGCTCTTTCAATATTGGCGAGTACATTTTTCTCCCTATTTTTGAAACACTGTGTAGGCCAAACAAAATACTTATGAACAAGTTGGTAGTTTACTGTCTCTGGTTTAGGACATAAAAAGTTTGTACATAAAGATAGGCTTTTTCCACCTCTAAGTGATGAACTCAACAATTATAAGAATTGATCACTTCCTGAGTTTGAAGAGATCTTTGATAAATAACAAGCATATAATTAATCAAGGTCCTTCACCCATGCCAGAAAAACATTATTTACAATGAACATACATTCTGGAATGTGTAGGACACTCCACTTCCAAAACTCTTTCCAATTGGCCACATAGGTGCTCTGTTTAGTTTCTGCAACCATAACCAAGTACCACAAACTGGGTAACTTAAATAACAGAAATTTGTTGGGTCTCAGTTCTGGAGACCATGGAATCTGAAATCAAGGTATCAGCAAGATTGGTTCCCTCTGAGGATTCTGAGGAAGATTCTGTTCCATACATCTCTCCTAGCTTCTGTAGCTTTAGACATTCCTTGTAGACATTCCTTCTGTGTCTTCACATTGTCTTCCCTTGTGCATATCTGTCTGTGTTCAAATTTCTCCTTTTATAAGAACTCCAGTCATAGGGGCTGCACTGATTTCTGATTTGTTTTATGCGACCACCAGAGCAGGCACCAGAGAAAAGGCAAGTAGGCAAGGTAAAAAGAAACTTTATTAGCTAGCCAATGTGGAGGAAGAAAGGGCGAGGTTCACCGGTCTCCGGTGGTGGAGGCCGAGGAAGTCGCTCTGGCGTTCTCAGGCGAGGTTCCTAGGTCCGCATATGAGGAGGGACCGAGGAAGTTCGCGCCGCACGCCTGCTGGGAGCGGCTTTTCTGTCTAAGGCTTGGGAGTGGGAGGGCAATAGGCGGGACACAGGCGTGTCGGAGGCGTTCCATAGGTGTGGCCAGGTAAGTTTCAGTTTCCTTGATCGGACGCCGTGTTGCGCCTGCGCAGTCGGTCTGTATTTTTCCCGGGCGTGGGCTGCATTTTCCCGCGCGCGGGTAAGTTGGTGATGAAGAACCCGGAAATGCGCCATCTTAGTCATCTTTGTCCTCTCCCCCCATCCGGACAGTCCAACCTTTTATTGATTATAGTGATTGGGGGCGTCATTGTCTGTCTGGCTGCTTCCTGCTATTAAGGGGCATAGTTAGGGTCTGTGGTTGATATCTGGACATAGGGATATAGGAGCATCTGATTGAAAGCGACGTGGGTGATCTCTTGAACTTTGGCTCGGAGAAATTTTATTAAAATGGGAGCAAAGCACAGTATAAGACATAGGATTAAGATAGGAATGAGGAATGGGAGCATTTGTTGTATTACTGGTAATAACCATATAGGTGGACCAGGGGTTAAGGGAGTGTTGTAGTTTTTGAGTTCTGTTTTAATCCTGTTTAGGGTTTGGATGTTGGTGTCAACTAGACCTGACTCGTTTATGTAATAGCAACATTCTTCTAAGAAAAGGCATGTTTCTCCTTTTTCAGCTGTAAGAAGATCTAATGCCTGTCTATTTTGTGCTGCTACCTGGGCCACTGAGGTGATTTGACGTTGTAAAGAGGCTAAGATTTCAGCTGAAGCCTCTATGGCTGCCTGGACCTGAGTGGAGAGGGTCTGTGTGGATTGAATCGAGTGGGTGAGGGCCCCTGTTCCAAGTCCTGAGGCTACTAGGGATGATGCTAGGGAAACTTCAGTAATTAAGGGAAGAAAAACGGCCTGCTTTTGGATGTTATTGCTGGGGCTGAGCTGGGAAGCTAGTTTGGACAATTCTCCTTCACTATATAGGGTTAAGCTAGGCACTAAAGATACTGGAACGCAAAGGGATTGGGTGATGGGGGTATGGTTAAGAGTTTTAGATAGAGTTTGGTTACACTAAAAGTAGCCTCCAACGGGGGCCGTCTGGGTCTTGCTGGGAACTTGAGTGCAATTACACTATGAAGAGTTTGGAGTAGAGTAGCAAAAAGGAATCTCTGTCTCTCTTCATCTGTCTCTCCCCATCTCTGTCTCTGTCTCTCTCCATCTCTGTCC